TAATGGAGAATACTTTACACTCAGAGCTGCATTAATGTGGACAATTAATGATTTCCCCGCCTATGGAAACTTATCTGGTTGTGTTGTTAAAGGATATAAAGCTTGTCCAATATGCGGCGATGATACACCTAGTCACAGGTTGAAAAATGGCCACAAAATTTGTTACATTGGGCATAGAAAATGGTTACCGATCAATCATCCATATAGGAGGCAACGTGCAGCTTTTAATGGGAAACCTGAATATGGCACGCCTCCTGAGCCATTAACCGGAGAAGAAGTGCTGCATATGGTTGAAGATGGTGACAGAGTTTGTTGGAAGAAGAAATCAATATTCTTTGATCTCGAGTATTGGAAATACCTTCCTGTGAGGCATGTCCTAGATGTTATGCACATTGAGAAGAACGTTTGCGATAGTATCATTGGTACATTGCTGGAGATCCCTGGAAAAAATAAAGATGGGATTGCTGCTCGATTAGATTTATTGAACATGGGGGTCAAAACTGATTTGCAACCCGAGTATGGAGAAAGACGTACTCGTTTGCCTCCCGGGCCTTGGAATTTGTCAAGAGCAGAGAAGAGAGAGGTTTGCAATTCTTTCTATGGTATGAAGGTCCCTGAAGGTTATTCTTCAAATATAAAAAATCTTGTATCTTTACAAGATTCAAGACTTCTTGGCCTTAAATCACATGATTGTCATACCTTAATGCAACAATTGCTCCCTGTGGCAATTCGTTCTGTTTTGGAGAAGCCTGCAAGGTATGCAATAACTCGTTTGTGCTTCTTCTTCAATGCTATATGTGCAAAGACTGTTGATGTTTCCAAGCTAGATAAGTTGGAAGAAGATGTAGTAGTTACTTTGTGTTTGCTTGAGAAGTACTTTCCCCCTTCATTCTTTGATATCATGGTTCATCTAGTAGTACATCTTGTCAGAGAAGTTCGTCTGTGTGGGCCAGTATATTTTAGATGGATGTATCCGTTTGAAAGATATATGAAAGTGCTAAAGGGGTATGTTCAGAATCGTACTCGTCCCGAAGGTTGCATTGCTGAGCGGTATATAGCTGAAGAAGCTGTAGAGTTTTGTACCGAGCATTTATCTGATGTTAGTACAGTTGGAGTGCCTTCAAGCCAAAAGATGGGAGTTTCAAAGCCATTATCAGGTTGCACAGTGAGCGTAGTTGATCGGGACCTGTTGAACCAAGCACATCTATATGTCTTGGAGAATACGGAGGAAGTCCTACCTTATATCGAGTACGTATGAGTTTTATTCTTTAAGTTTCCATTTTAAATTATTTCTTATGTTTATCTTATATGTTTGGGATCGTAATACTTGAATTTTGTGTGTCATGTAGGCAACATATGATCCACATCCAGACCGCTTATCCAAAATTTAGAAAGAGAACAAAGTGGCTGCAGGATAAGCACAATAGCACTTTCATTCAATGGCTACGCTTCAAGGTATATGTTATTGAATAACATATTGGACTTTTAATTTTCTTCTTTCTGTGTTAGATTGAATTAAGTTATGATTAATTTGCAGGTTCAAAGTGAACTTAATGAGGAAGACAATCATGGCGTATCAGAAAATTTAAGGTGGCTAGCAGCTGGTCCAAACATGGCAGTGCCATTATATAGGAGCTATCTCATTAAAGGTATTAAATTCAACATCAAGGCACAAGATGATGTGCGGACAACTCAAAATAGTGGAGTTTATTTACTTGCACATACTATGCAAGTTGCTAGTGCCAAGGATAAAAACCCAATTCTCTCAAATATGGGTTTCTATGGTGTCATTCAAGAAATTTGGGACCTTGACTACCAAAAGTTTACAATCCCAGTCTTTAGGTGTGATTGGATTGATAATACTTCTGGTCTTGTAGTGGACGAACTTGGATTTACCCTTGTAGATTTGAGTAAAATTGGACATAGGAATGACCAATTTGTTTTGGCTTCTCAAGTCAAACAAGTATTTTTTGTTGACGACCCGATGCATCGTGGTTGGTCGGTAGTGTTATCAATGCCTAATAGAGAATATAATGATGTTATTGGTGATGATGTCTTAGGTGATGTGAGAATTGAGTGTGAGCCATTTACTAGGGGGATGCCAAATGTTGACACATTTGATGAAGTGGTGGTTGAGTTAGGGAGTCAAAATATTCGAGATGGGTGTGAAGATATATGGGTTGAATGATGCTTTATGTAATTGGCAGTGTATGACATTAATTTTGTAATATATTGTAATGTGATTTCTTCACTTTCATTATACAGGTTTTGGCCACAAAACAATCAGTACAAAAATTACTGGTTCCAGATAACAAACACGACGGTTTTGATAAAAATGTGAAAAACAAACGTCTGTTCTAATAAATAACGACGTTTTGGAGCATTCAACGACCGCAATATATTTACCGACGTCTTAAAGCAAAGTAACAATGAAGAACCACGACGCTATTGTGAAACAGTTATCCAGGATAACACGTCGGACAAGCATAAAGAACCGCCATGTAATACAAAATAACACGACTCCAATCCCATAACACCGACGTCTAAAAGACGAGAACTTTAACCTGAACGTTACAAAAGACGACGTCGTCATGAATTTACCACGTCGCATGTTCTTTCATAAACGAAGTGGAAAAGGATGAATTCACGACGGTATTTGAAGTCCATTAAATTTGTCGACGTTAAGATTTATGAACTAGACGACGTTAATTTTTTTAATGAAGACGTATAAATTATTAAACACGACGGTCTTTTTCATGGTACCGACGTTGTATATAGACGACAACGTCGTCCTTATAAATTACTGTGTCGTAATTAATGACCCCATCATTTTTTCCACGTCGTTTATTTTCAAAATATGACGTATAAATTCTGTAATACGGCTCTCATTTATTTGGAACCGACGTTGTTTATTCATTTCAACGTCGTCTAAGTAAATACATACGTCGTAATTAATGAACCTGACATCTATTTCCACGTCATAATTCGTAGAAAAATCGAAGTGGAAAATATATTTTACGACGGTATTTGAAGTCCATTAAACTTGTCGACGATAAGATATATGAATTAGACGACGTCAATTTTTTAAATGAAGACGTATAAATTATTAAAGACAACAGACTTTTTAATGTTGACGACGTTGTATATAGACTACAACGTCGTCATTATAAATTACTGTGTCGTAATTAATGACACCATCTTTTTTCACGTCGTTTATTTTCAAAATATGACTTATAAATTCTGTAATACGGCTCTCATTTATTTGGAACCGACGTTATTTATCAAATTCAACGTCGTCTCTATAAATATATGGGTCGTAAGTAATGACCCTGACATCTTTTTCCACGTCATAATTCATAGAAAAATCGAAGTGGAAAATTTATTTTACGACGGTTGTGGGAAATGTTGTGACGTAGTAGGTGTCAATAACGTCGTCTATTATGATTGTAAAGACGTCGTATTTATATTTGTCATCTGTTTCCTTTTTAACGACGTTTTTTTTTGTTGGAGTTGGTCGTCTATTCTCATCCTCGACTGTTTTTTTATGTCTTTTTGCAGCACAAAGACGTCGGTTTTTATTTTTTGATGACGTTTTTTGTTTTAACAACGACGGTTATTCACCGTCGTGGTTTGGTTATGGAAAAGATGTCGGTGGATTCCACGACCATTTGAAAACAGAATACACGACGGTGAATTCCCGTCGTGGTTTTCCTTTTTTGTAGTAGTGGCAAACCCACTAGTCGCAAGAAGCATTTAATGCACGGGGGAAGAAGGGAAGTGACTGAAGTCAGGATTTGGTGATGGAAATTAGAGTGGTTAGGCGCAAACATTCTCACAAGTATTCTTACAACTTGAGGTCAGATCACCAACCACCAGGCCAGGGCATTAAATGCGTTCCCACGGCCAAGGGGGCAGAACCCACGATCAGGGCGGTGGCCAAGATTTACTGGGATTTATGGGGGTCACACCACCATGCTTCACGATCCCAAATGCTAATTTGACTACCCACTTGCCCCGATCAGGCTCCACCACGCAGATCTTTTCAGCCTCGATTGTCCCTCCAGGACTCCCCCTATAAATACTAAGCTCAAGACCACATTCAAGGGGTTCAAACCACCAAACCAAAAGGCTCCTGTAATGCACTTTCAATACCTTTATTTGTTTTCCTAGGAGTAGTGGTAAATTGTAGGGAAAATCTATTCATTAATATATCATACGACCCTTGATTTTCAAGGCGCCGGAGCACCATCTCTGTTATCGTCTCATTCACCCCATATATCATACGACCGTCGCTCTGTAAGCAACGCGCCGAAGCACTGCCTAAAACCCGCCACCAACACCACCACTAAACGGCCTTGTAGCTCTGGCCGTGAACCTGACGGCCGAGATGAGTTCCTCTCTCGGCCACAATCGTTTGATTAGGAGTCAAACTCAAAACAAGCGCATCATTTAACCATCTTCTACCCAAACCTCATCACCATCTCAACGCACGGTAGACCGTGCTGGCACGCCCGCAACCGCACTGCTTCCAAAAGAAGGACGTCACGTGTTAACGCACATCATCTCGGCCCGGAGCATCCGGCCGTGAGATTTGCGCAGCCAACACTTTTGGCACGCCTGGTGGGACTCTTGTCAAAAACTCATGGTGGAAACTAGGGCACAAGCAAAGGTAAAAAACAAAACAGTTGAAATGACTTCCGAGGCTCCTGAGTCCACCTTACCAATTACTATCACCGACACCGAACAAGTTAAAATCATCGAATTCCCCCACTTACAGTGAAGAGTTATATAACTTGGTGTTCGGCCCGATTCGGGCTGAATTGTTCTCGGGCTGCCATGTTAACGGCATCAAGTTTTTAGGGACTGCACGAGATGACAAGTTGTGTACTCAAAACAGCGGTGTCCATGTCCCAGGTGGAGGCGAAAGTACGGACATTGATTTCTATGGCAAACTGACAACGGTCGTACAATTGCTTTACAAAGACCGATACCAAGTGATCATGTTTAAGTGTCGATGGTTTGATACAAACTCAAATAGGCAGGGAAGTGTTAAAATCGACCATGGCTTAGTATCAGTGAACATTAACATAACTTGGTATGATGACGACCCATTCATTTTGGCAAACATGGCAAAACAGATTGTGTATCTAGATGACCCTAAAGCCGGGAGCGGTTGGAAAGTTGTTCAGCAGATGGATCAGAGGAACGTGTATGCTATACCAGAACTAGACCCAACTGACAACGACGTCCTTGACCAACGTTTGGAGTCTTCCATGGAAAATGATGCAGAAACACTTCGAGATACAAATGTTATACAAGAACCATTTCAGGTTCAAGGAGTGTCTTCAATCGAAATACCGATTCAGTCAATTACAATTGACCTCGGTGATCTTCCGCGCTACGATGTTCTAGTGGGCCCAAACTATGAAAGTGATGAGGAGGAGGATTGGGAAACCGAAACTGATGATAGCGACAATAATGAAGGTTATTATAGTTCAGATGATGAATAATGCAATTTATTAGTGACTACCCATGTAAATAGTAAATTAAATTTTGTGTATTTTAATTATGGTAGTGTAAAGATGGCAATCACAAATTAAAATCAAGTTGCACACAATTTGAATTTGACTTTTTTAATCACAAATTTAATCATATAATATATAGATTGAATCTAACTATTTGAATTTAAGTGGTATTTATGACTATAAGAATTAGGGTTTTCTCTTTTTGGAGTTGAAACTATTGAAATTGAAAGAATACAAAAAATTGAAACATTCATGAAAAAATTGAAAAATTAAAATCAAGAATTCATTTCTCTTCGCCTTGTTCCACGCTTGGCTACAACCCATGTGATTTTGTCCTCCTCTTTCTCAAGAAGTCAAACTTTGTCATTGCAAGTCATAAAGTTAATTTTTTTTTTTTTTTTTTTTTTTTATAAAGTTCATTATTTTGTTGTTAAAAAAGTTCATTACAAAAGAAAACCCCCCCCCCCCCCTATCTCTCTTAAAAAATATGCCTATATGAAGAGAAAGAGACATCCTGTTTAGATTTTCTGTTTCGGGCCTTTAGGCCTCATGTGCGCCACATAAAAAAAGTTTTATATATTTTGTTTCGTGAAGAATTAAATGTTTATATGAAAAAAGAGAAAACAAGAGTTAAATTTTGGAGTTTAAATGTTTATTGTATCATTGAAGATTATCAAATAAAGTTTCTTTTTTATTTTTATTTTTAAAAAACAACACAAGAGTAAAACTTTGAGGATATATATGTAGGACAAATGTTCTATCATAAAAGTTGCAAACCCTCACAATTATAAAAACAAGCAAAAATGTTTATCAAAATTCAAATTTTAATTTAGCTACAAATTCCCTTCCAATGAATGATGTACCACTATTTAATTTCTGTTTTGTTGAATCCGATTATGAGGTTATATTTTTAAAGAAATAGAAGTTATTTTTTTATTTTTTGTAATTAACATCGGAGTAGGCTTGAAAAAAGAAAAGCAATACCAATGTTCCCCCCATAATTAACAAAATATCAATGTTCCCCCCCCATAATGAACATCGGAGTACGTTTGAAGTTTTGATAATGTTTTGTGCGACGAAGGGCTATTTTCGTCGCGCAAGAATTCACGAGCAAATATAACTTGCGCGACGAATTACTATTTTCGTCGCGCAACAATGAAAGAATAGATAATTATGACGTGAAAATATTATCTTGCGCGACGAAAGAGTATTTTGTCGCGCAACATGTCTTCGCGCAACGAAATAATTTCTTGCGTCGCGCAAGAAAAGATGGTTACCACTTTGCGCGACGATTATTCTCTGCCGTCGCGGAACATGTATATGCGCCACGAATGTAGCCTTCTTCGTTGCGCAAACCAAGTATATAAATCTTTTTCATTTCAAGAACAAATATGATGAAATTATATTATTAAGACCCTAGAAGTGTGTCATTGGGTTAATTTACGTGTTAAAATATTACATTGCAATAGAAATAAATACACATATTATAACATGCATAAATTAACTATTTAGGTTTAGTAAATTTGGCATAGTCAAAATCTAAAAAAGCAATCAAGTTGCTCGACGTAGTGTTAAAATAAGAATTTCAAGCGTAATCTTGTCACAAGTGCCCTAGAGTAGGCTTATAGTTAGGGTTCGAGACTTGAGAGCAGTGTTGGAACAAGTTTAGAAGTTAGAGTTTTTAATTTGAGACTTCAATTTTGGGTTTGGAAGGCTAAAATAAATTGTCGGAATACTAAAACAGTTTTACACCATTTTTGCCTACTTCAAACAAGTTTCCAGGATTTTTAAATAATACAAACTATTTTAAAAATACTTTTGAAAATTTAAAATTGGTTTTCAAGTCCGTAAAAGAATTAAATACTATTTATTCAGTCATTTCATAAATAAATTAAAAATTTTAAAAACTAATTCTTCACAAAATAAATAATACTAAAAACAAAATACTAATTACAAAAATTAAATAAGACTAATATATTTTGGTTTTTCGAGAGGTTTGCGCGACAGAACGGCGATTTTTCGTTGCGCAAGTTGTCCACATTTTCCCGTTAGGGTTTTCGGGTTTAGGGTTTAGGGATGAATTTCTAATAATCTTGCGTGACAAAAAAACGATCGTCGCGCAGAGCATATTTGCGCTACGCAAATTACACCCTTCGTCGCGCAAGATGTAGAAATTATTGGCGGCTTAGGGTTTGGGATTTAGGGTTTAGGGTTTAGATTCTGATAATCTTGCGCGACGAAACGTCCTGTCGTCGCGCATAGATTATTTGCGCTACGCAATGAAACTCTTACGTCGCGCAGGTGTCATTAATTTTGAGGATTAAAATATTACCTTGCACGACGCCATGATTTCAATGTCGCACAACAGATCATTGCACGAGGTATCTGAAGATTTCGTCGCGCAAGATGTCCAAAATATTGGCGAAAAAAAAAAAAAAAAAAACTCTTTTTATTTTGGTTACCGTCTCCGCAGCCAAACCCTCCTTCTCAGACTTCGAATTTGAACCCTAGCTCGAACCCTAAACTTCGATTTCGAACCCTCGAACCCTCTCAGGCTTCAAACCCCGTTGAACCCTCTCACCCTCTCAGACTGAACCCTTTAACCTCTCACCCTCTGCTTTGAACCCTCTCACCTCTCACCCTCTCAGTTCCCTCTTTCGAACCTTCAAACTCATTTGATCCCTCTCTTGGGTTTGAACACAGAGCGTCTGCCACTGCCGGATTCTAGAAGCCCCGCCGTCGTGATTGGCACCTGCGTCAGCGGTCTCGTGCTCTCCGTGTCTCCCTCGAAACCCCCTCTGGTATCCCCAAATCTAGCCTCCGGTCTCGTTTTTCAATTAGGGATATTTGACACTGATTTCGTTGGGATTTATTGTTATTAGATTTAGATTTATGTTAGATTAGTTTATGCAATTTAGATTTAGTTTAGATTTAGATTTTGCAAATCAGTTTTTGCAATTAGTTTCTGCAATTTATATTTATTTTTTATTTAGTTTCTGCAAATTAGTTGCAGATTTGGATTGATGAGTTTATGAGATTTAGATTTATATTTTTATGAGATTTTGTTAGCTCACAGATTTAGTTCAGTGAGTTCACAGATTTAGGTTTCTGCAATTTCAATGTGACTGTTTTCTGCCAATTTGATTTGTGTTACTTGTTTATTTTCTGATGCAAGAGCATGTATTAGGATAAATTGTTTTCCTATTGGTTTCATTTCCTGTTTAGGTTTTAATTTTGTTTGTCAACTACGGTTTCTTATTAAACTGGGAACATGAATGCTTGGCTGGTTAATACATAAGCTATTATTTAGATATGTAAATCTGTTATATTATTTACATATGTATGTAACATATTTCTGCTTAGTCTGAAGGTTGGTTAGGATTTTTTATGTTCTTCAATTAGTTCCTGCCTGAACCTAATTAGAAGTCGTAAGGCGATGTCGGCTGCACAGAGTTCGCCTCCCCCGTCGCAGCCATCAGCTGCCACAGCTCCAACAAAGATGGACCACTTGCCAGTTGGTCTAATGGTGTCCAATGCGCCGGTGTCATCATCGTCATCAGTGGCGCTACCTGTTAGCGCCAGGCGTCGTCATCGCCCATCCAGCACCTCTGACACCATATCGACAGATGCTTTTGCTGGGTCGAGGTCACAACCCGGTAAAGATTTCCTTCACCTCCAGTTCTTTTGGACCAATATTTTCTAGTTGAATATCTTATTTATTTAACGTTCATTTCATATTTCTTTGCAACGAAGAAGAACACTCGGGGGCCGTGTCGGCAGTTGAAGACGGCGAAGGTCACCCGGGTGACCAACAGTCGTATCAACATCGAATACGACGAGCGGCATCAGGCAGCCCCGACGGCGGAATTGCATAACTCTTTGGCCCATGACATTGGTCATGTTGTTCGGACCCATTGCCCTATGCAATGGAAGTTTTGGAAGGTCATACCTGACGAGGTCAAGATGGAGGTGCATGGACAGTTGTCGGTATGTATCCTATATTTTATTTGTTTGTCCTTCAAATTTTATTTATTTATATTACTAAATGTCTGTAATGAATTTATTGCAGACTAACTACAATTTAGAGGACCTCAATGATGAGTCATTGGCGTACGTCAACAGACTTTTTGGTGAGAGGTACAAGCAGTGGAAGAGCGACTTGCACCACCATTTTCAGGCATTTGATGATTCGCAAGTCGCTCTTCCAGAGGGTTGCCCGAAGGAGCTTGAGGGGCGGGAGAATAGTTGGGCGTGGCTCTGCGCTCATTTTCTGGAGCCCGAATATGTGGTATTTTTTATATATAAAGTTCAAACTTATTACATGTTTCTTATTAATTTTTATTTAATTTTTTCTATTTCATTTCAATTTCAACTGATATGTTTATTTTTTGTATAACAGAATAAGGCCACAGTAAATAAGGGCAATAGGAAGAAGAAGACTCTTCTCCACCATTCAGGTTCTAGGCCCTTCTCTTATAGGATGGACGCACGACGACGGGTAATAATAAAATAGTTTTATATCCAATTTTGAATATGTAATTAATATTAATTTCTATTTTTCGTACTAACATTTTTCTTGTCTTGTTCAATTCAGGGGGGGTCCAAATTCCCGGAGATCGACGTTTTTGGCGACGTTTATATTCGACCTGGGAATGAGTTGGCCGAGTCCATTCATGTAAGTATTCTTTATTTTTAATTATTATCTACGCATTCAAGTTTCATGGTTATATGAATGTTTTAATTAATTTTAATATTTTATGTTTTAATTCTTTAATTTTAATTAAACAGACGACGATGGTGGAGAAGAGCCAGTTGGTTCTTCAGGAGTCTGCCTCCCAACTTCCTTTCGATACTCCGCTCAAGTCTGTGCATCCTCCACAGGATGTAGGGTTTCAGATCTTGACGGAGACGTTGGATCAGACTCTCGGGAGGAGGCCCGGGACATATTGTCGAGGGATGGGGAATGGCCGGCAGCAGGAACCTATACCTCGTTCATCGTCGCAGTCAAATGAGGTGACTGCTTTGACAGCGACGGTGGCCGAGCTTAAGGGTCAGATGTCTATGATTCTAGAGTCCCTTGCTCGGTCCGACATTCCAATCCCGCAGTTTGGTTCCTCCTCAACCTCCCAGCCCCCCGAACCTGGCCACCAGACATCTGCCCTTGCCGACAATGCCCAGACGTCCGAGCCGCATCTCCCAGACGACCACGTTGATTTTGGAACTTTATTCGATTAGTTTTGTATTTGTTATTACATTTTAACAATTTTTCTTGTAATTACATTTATATTATTTTATAACATTTCTTTTCTCTTCATTACATTTTTTGAATGCAATTTTATTTTATTGAAGAAAAAAATTAACCAAATTTTAAATTTAAATTAACAAAATAAAAGAAACGGAAAATTAAATTTAAATAATAACATATATTTTTTTGCATGACGAAAACCTTTTGGTTGCGCAAATTAAAAAATAAAACGAATTTAAAACATTTTTTTATTTTTGCGCGACATAAAATTTCGTCTCGCTAAACAGGTATGCCCGACGAAGAACTTTCTGTCGCGCATTACGTGTCGTCGCGTAGATGATTGGGACACGATATGCGCGACGAAAATATCCCGTCGTGCAAAGTTTGCGTACCAAACCCAGTCTCGTCGCTCGAACTTTTGCGCGACAAAAATATCCTGTCCGCGCAAAGTTTGCGTAACGAATATATTTTCGTCGCACAACTGTTTGCGTGACGAAACTTTCTGTTGTCCCTGTAAATTTTGTGCAACGAAGGCTAAACGTCGCTCAATTTTGCGCGACGAATGACAATATTTGGTCACGCAAAGTCTTTCTTCATGATCTTCGCGCGACAGATGCTGTAAAATGTAGTAGTGCACTTTGCGCTTACATTTTTGCGACTACAGTGCACTTTGCGCGACAGAAATTTCTTTGTCGCGCAAACTGTAAAATGTAGTAGTGGAAGTCTTCTATATCTCACTGCTACAAGGCCGTATATAATGTATGCAGCAAGTTTATTGGCAAGATTCATGCATTGTCCTACAAATAAACACTATGGAACTGCAAAAAAAGTACTCAGATACATCAAGGGAACTCTGGATTATGGCCTGGAGTATGTGAAGGGAAGGAAAGCTTGTTTAATCGGCTTCTGTGACAGCAATTGGGGTGGCTCATTGGAGGACAGCAAGAGTACATCAGGATATGCATTCTCATTTGGGAGTGGGGTGTTTTCTTGGGCTTCAGTCAAGCAAAACTGTGTTGCACTTTCAACTGCAGAAGCTGAATATATAAGCGCATCAAAAGCCACAACTCAAGCAATATGGCTGAGGTTCATTTTGGAAGATTTTGGAGAAATACAAACTAAAGCTACTCCTCTTCACTGCGATAACACTTCTGCCATTGCTATTACAAAGAATTCTGTGTTCCATCAAAGGACCAAGCACATTGACAGAAGGTATCATTTTATTAAGGATGCATTGCAGGAAGGAACCATTGATTTGGTGTATTGTCCCACTAAAGAGCAGGTAGCAGATATCTTCACAAAACTTTTGGCTAAGGATCGCTTCAACTATCTCAGGAGTATGCTCGGAGTGAAATCAGCTCAAGACTTAAAGGGGAGTGTTGAATTATAAGTCTGTAGCTGATTAGTATTAGTGTAATAAGATGAACTTTATGTGTGTATTCACTTGAGCATATCTGCCAAGTGTGAGGTCAAAATAGTCATATGTGGTGACTGTAGTTTTTTGGTCAGATGGATGGCTGAGATTCATTCTTACATACAGACAAAATATATACCAAATGTCTTGCACACAGACTCGGTGTGTAAGCAGAGCATTTTTCATTCTATCTGATTCTTCTATTCTTCTCTTACAAAAAAACCCAGCTAGAATACCAGAAACTGTAACATCCTCAACTGAGCTTGTTCCAGTTCCTGAACCATCTTATGCTAGGGAGATCCGCCAGCCTGCATCATTGCCACCTGTGTCAGATGCAGGATCATCGGAACTTAAGTTACGACTAGATGGTGTTCAAAGAAAATGGGGTAGGCCAACATATTCCTCCCCAACATTGTCGATCTCAAATTCCTCTAGTTCTAGTTCCAGAAATCAGCGAATGGGGTCACACAAATAGATAGCGCGAGCACTTCAAATTCAAAAGCACATAATACTTATGAGTCAAGGAGGCCCCAGGTTGAAATTTCTCCAGAAAAGCAGAAGCTTGCCAGTTCACTGTTTGGGGGATCATCAAAAACCGAGAGGAGGCCATCTTCTGCCAACCATAAGGTGTCTAAGGAAAATATCCATGCTTCAGAGAAACCCCAGGTATCAAAGGCAGCAGCTGTAAAGTTAATCATGAACCTGCTCCAGACTTGCTCGATTTGGGTGACTCAACTAGTAGTACTTCTTCCACTGTAGATCCTTTCAAGCAGTTAGAAGGGCTTCTTGATCAAACTGAAGTTGCATTAACTGCAAATCATGGTGCAGCTGGTGCTGCTAAGACACCTGATGTTATGGGATTATATGCAGATACATCTCTCAGCGGGCTCAGTAGCAGTGTTGGCGACCCTTTGCCAACCAATAGGGATGAGTTTAATCTTGCATCTGACTTATCAAATGCTACAAGAACTGCTCAAAGTGGGGTAACACAATTGAATAAGGGTCCTAACCCTAAAGATTCCTTGGAAAAGGATGCACGTGTAAGGCAGATGGGTGTGACCCCAACAAGTCAGAATCCCAACTTGTTTAAAGATTTGCTTGGCTAAAACTGTTCCGAATGGCAAACTTTCGATCATAATTGTTCGAGATTATTTGCTTTGTGGTATGTGCATGGTCTTTCGGTGTGGCTGGCTATATGATAGGAAATACAACTCAATTCAAACAAGTTTCAAGGCCACCATGCAGAGCTATAAAGGCACCATACACCAAGAATGGTGGCAAAAATGAGGTATAGGCTTTTGTATTTGTTGGACAGTGGCTTTAGGAATATAACCAAGTTGGTGATGCTTGAATATGATGGTTTGAGCCAATTCAATACGGAGCTTTTTCTTTGTGGCAATGTGGGCGATTTTGCAGCGCTCCACGGACACATGGTTCTGCCATGCATATTTGTCTACATTTACACTGCTTTGTGCCGCTCTCTTGTTATAATAATGCTGTATGAAGTGAATTTTTGTGTTGTAGGGACATTTATTCCTGTTTATCGTAAGTTTTAGTTGGCGTCCGTTCAGATTGTAAGTTGTAGTTATCTTTTGGCTATGAGATGCCCCTTGTAATTTTTGGTGGATAAAATTGGACATTCAACATCTACAGTAGCCATCCGGTCATGCAATGACAATAATAATGCGCTGTCGCTGTCGTGAACAAAGAAAGAAGTTATAATTCCTGGCGTCTTTTTCGTAGTTTCTAAAGCCAAATTCTTTTTTGGGTAAATGGAGCCATTGGAGATGTTAGCTCTACCAGGGCTGTTCAAACAGCAACTGGTGTTCAAAGAACCAAAATCTATTGGCAAACTAGACAGGAGTTGGAAAACAACATAATATGCATGATACTATCAACAAAAATATGTTGGGCATATTTGGAGGTCTGTTTACAATTAATGTCTAATTTTCAACAAACCTTGATTGAAAATTATGAAATAGATAAATCTGTTACATTTCATCCCCGACATACATCAATTCCAATGAATGAGATAGATGAATCATAGACAAAGTATATGTGTGGAATGAAAGCATTACATAAATCGGGGTTTGTTTATCCGATGATAAATGCTGGATGCATCAATTGAGAAGAAAGGTATTGCCTTATGCAACTTAAAATGGAATCTCAGAAACTGCTGGCGCCGCAACACACCTCTTGATTACCATACCATTGCCCGGAAATTTGGTACGTTTCGGTAGCTCACCCTAGGGCTCACATAAACCACTTTGGAACTTCATTGCCTGAAAATTTAATATCGAATGTATAGCGCTAAGAAAAAGGATTTAACCCAAAACGAAAAGGAAAAAAAATTCACACCCTGAAAGCTACAACATATACCCAATAGATGCACAACAAAATATAGCTAAATTTGAATTGAACACAAAACGCTGATATATGACCAGAAAATGCAAAGTTATCATTCAACATTTAATGGATTTACATACTTTGGCTCCTCATTAAGATCAGTGTGCCTCCTCTTTCGGTGATTCGCCCCTCCTCTGTCAATTGTCTCTGCGCTCAAATCTGCCAACCACTGCCTCCCATAAGTCTCACGGAGATAAACCTGGTGGCCTAACAGGTGGACCCCGCAGGATATTTCAACGGGTGTGTACCCTGGCTTCAAGCCAAATATAACTTGACAGATATTGCCCTGCTTCAACCTCGGTGGTTCTCCTAACTCGCGATTCATTAATGGAATACAACGGAACCCCACATGACTATCATATTCGGAAGTACCAACAATACCCGAATTTACGAGTTTTCCATTGACAAGAATCTTGGCATCAGCACCACTACCAGCAACACATAGAACCAATCTTAACGTCTCCCATTTTAAATTTGGAGGAATTTCAAAACTAACTTCACATCCACCATGGTATTTCTTTGTTCCAGGACGTGTAACAAAATAAGGTCTAACTATTATTCCATCTTTACGACAGCTGAACCACTCTGGAACTTCATCGCCTGGAAGATGAATGATGTAATGAGAAAGTGGATAAACAGAAACCTGATTCAGAAAAATATTTTCTGTGATGTCGTTGCCTCGTAGTCTAACGCAATTGTACAACCACAGCTTTATTTTGTCATCTTTCTCCGGTGGCCTTTCTGGAATTTTCTCCAAATCCAGCGAAACCCAAGACACTTTTGGAATTTTTTCCAATGATGGGCAGGAATCAATGACTACTAAAGGTGCTGATGGTGGAATCGCTTGTTCTGGAATTTCTCGAAGATTCTTGCAATCACGCAAGTTAAGTTCATGCAAGTTGACACATTTGCTAATTGATGAAGGCAATCCTCTTACGCCACTTCCTCGCATGTCCAAAAACAATAGTGATTCCATCTTCTCTATTTCTGGGAAACTCTCCAAACTTTCGCAATAATTAAGGCAAAGTATTTTTAAGGATTTCAATCTAAGTCTTGTTGCAAACCTCGTAAGCCTACCGCATCGTTCAAGATTCAATCGAACAAGTTTATCAAGGAGTCCAACAGAATCATCAACCTCAACCAAACTTGTACAGTCAGTTAGATTCAAGTCCCTTATGTTTGGGATTCCGGATAAGTCAGGAATTTTTTCTAAGAATTGACAACCACTTAAATCCATAGATGTCAGATTAGCATATTCTGTGATACAAAAACATAAAATAGGAAATTATCAAATCACACCCTTTAAAAAACAACTTCAGATTTTTTTTCTTCCTGAAAACAGATAATAATACATAAGTTATTAATTTAAATTGGTACCTTAAATTTCCCCAATCGTTTGATACTACCGCCAGGCATATTGAAGTCAGCAAGATGTACTTGATGAAACTCGGATGGCAAAGATTGTAACTGACATCTATAACCCCCCCAATCAATCAACCTCAACTCGTTGGGCAGATATTCAACGTCACCAGACAGAAATACATTACGATTTATGAAAATTTCAAGATTTATCATCCCAACAAAGCATTCTGAATGCAAGCGTATCTCATCTGGTTCGGAAAACTTCAGCATGATGCCCTTAATTTTTCTTGTTCCCTGAGATGGAAAAGTATTAATATCAAGAAACCAAGTCGTTTTTCAAACCAAATGCTAGTACACTTGGTTCTTGTCGAATTGAGTATAAGAACATATATTATACTTGCTCTATTTTTCTCCGTTAGAACAGAGTAGACATCCTCAGGTGACCACAATCTACTACGCTCACCAGGATCATTGGGGGATTCGTCATAAACTATATCCTTGCCCAGTTTTTCAAGTAAGTCATGCATCTGAATCCTACCATAGTCAATAGTTATCATTGCCTTCTCAATGAGTACTTCAATACAATCTCGGGAGACCTTGTTCTTAGAATTGCTTACTATTTGTAGCACATATTCCTTCTTTTCACCCTTGAAGAAACATGCAATGTCTAGAAAAACTTGTTGCACGGAATATTCCAAGGCATCATAACTTTTCCGAAGTATTTTTTGAATACCTGTATATGGTTCTCCTTCATAACTGTCTAATATATCTTGCCAACGATCTTTGTCTTTATTACGAAGATGAGAACCTAAAAGTGTTAGAGCTAGTGGAATGCCTTGAGCATAGGCTATTGCTCGTTTTGTGAGTTCCAAATAATCATTTGGAGGTTCACTTTTTCCGAAGGCATTCAAACTGAAAAGCTTAAGAGCTCGGTCGTCATATAACATTTGGACTTCGTATATCGAATCAATTCCATGACGTTCTAGCAATCCCCTATCTTGCGTAGTTGTAATGACTCTACTTCCCTCACCAAACCAACCAACACCAGCCAAATTGTCTAATTGCTTCAATTGATTCACATCATCAAGAATTAAGAGAATTTTTTTATGGCTCAACCGTTCTTTTATGACACCAATTCCTTCATCAACACTACGAATTTTCCATTCTACGCCAAGAATTTGATGAAGAAGAGCCTCCTGTAGCTTGATTAAGTCTCCATCTGACATTGAATTATCTCTAACATTTGACAAGAAGCAACTTCCTTCAAATTTATGTGCAATTGCATTCCACATAGCTTTTGCAATTGTTGTCTTGCCTATTCCAGATGTCCCCCATATCCCAACCATGCGACGATCATTCCCACCAACATCTAAATGCCTTTCCACATCTCGTACACAAGATTGAATTCCAACTGGGTGCTTGGCCACATTCCAATATGTGCGTCTCAATACTCGGCTTATGATTTCATCAATAATGTTGTTGATAAATGTAGCTTCATACCTGCCAGTTTAACCAAATTACACACATTCAATGAATCAGATTTAAACAAATCCAACCACGCAAAAGAACACAAGCTACTGAAGTACGTAATAGTTCTTCTGACCAAAAAGAAAAAAAGATGTAATAGTTGTTTAACCACAAACCTGTGTTATAAATATACTTGTATGCCCTTTGAAGAGATTTATTTATGGATTTTGAACTTTCTCCTTACAGCTATCGAAAATACAAAAGTACCCAAGAAAATAAATCTTCTCACTACAGTTGTACATAAACAGAATACTTCTAACTACGTAATAGTAGCTCAACTTGCCACTATTCGGTTTCACCTTTTTTTGTCAAGACGAAATTATCATATAATACTTAGCAAGCAACATAAGATCCTACAAAGCAAAAGTACTCGTAATTTTATATTTATTCAATTTCCAATATTATGAGTTACATAATTACATTACTCTATTGAGAAAAGTGGAGGGCATCTTCATCAAAACATTTTTTATAGATAAATTTAAGTAATATTTCTGGAAATGTTACTTTCGCTAATCATGTGGTGACTCATACAATACTCTCTATTTCCAATATTCTGCAGTTGCTGTGGCAATCCTGTACCCACCCACGTGTGGCAGCACACAAGACTTGATGTCTTTTTACTTTTTCTAATTTTTTTAAAAATTATATATTATTAGTCTATTTTATATGCTTATTAAAATATATAAGATACAATTAAATGTAGGGGTGGGCATCTTAAACCGAAATACCGAAACCGTACCCTAACCGCACCGTACCATACCGATTTCATACCGTTTCATTTGGTATGGGGAGATATTCGGTACCGTACCGTACCGTACCAATAGAATATGGTATGGTAGCGGTATCAAGATTTTGGTACCGGTCAATACCGTACCTTACCAAATAGTATAACATTATGTTTTTGTCATTTATGTTTGGATTGTTTTTGTATTTTTGTAAGCCATAAGGCATAATTTTAACTATTTTGGTTTGTAAGCCATAAGGCATGAGTTTTAACCATTTGGGTTTGATGAATTTGTTGATGGATAAATATTGATTTGGTTTATTTAGATATTGAATATGTTGATTAGGATTTGGATATTGAATATGTTGAATCTTTGAATTTGTAACTTAGGGCATCACTTATTTTGGTGTTGAATATTGAATTGGTTCATTTTTTAGTTGTATCATTTTGGTACCGAAATGGTACCGATACCGTACCGATATTGATTGGCACGGTACGGTACGGTACCAATTTTGGCAAACTATAATCCCATACCGTACCATACCGATTTAAATTTTCGGTATCAGTAGCGGTACAGGCTCAATACCGTACCGTGCCCACCCCTAATTAAATGTGTAACAAATAGTAATGAGAAAGAAGAGAGAAAAAATTAAACATGAAAATGATAAAGATAGAAATATACGTACTCTCCATCCTTGAAAGGATAACCGGACAATTTTGCTGCTTTTTTAAGAGCTTCCCTCCATATGAGCACCTTCTCCTCGTTATCTTTGAATTTGCTTTCAATAAGTTCTTCAAATGCGTAACCAAAGCTATTTGTTTGGTTTCCCACATCCGACGGATCCACCTTGTAAAAAATGGGCAAAACTATTTGTTGCTTTGATTGTTTACATTGAAGGATCTTGACAAGTTCATCCAAACACCACCTCGAAGATGCATACTTTTCAGAGAATACAATGAGAGAAATTCTTGATTCTTCAATTGCTTTGACAAGGGCTGGCGATATTTCTTCTCCTCTTACAAGCTCTCGATCAATGAAGGTGTTGATGCCCTTATCACACAAGGCCTTGTACAAATGATCCGTAAAATTGGTGCGTGTATCCTTACCTCTAAAACTCAAGAACACATCATATGTCCATGATGAATCATGAATGAAAGAAGAAGAAGAGACTGGTTGAGTTGTCATAGATAGGAGTGAGATAATTAGAAGTATGGAGAAGCTCAAAGAATTGGGTATGGCAGTGGCGCTCCGGATTTATGCGGGCTTGACGAAGCAGTTTCCTACCACCTTCCATGTGGAGGAGATTTCGTTTCAACTTCCATGTGGAGGAGATTTCGTTTCAACTTCAAGTCATCAACGCTGAATGTTCTTTTCTTACTGACGCGGTCTTTAATTACTGAAGCATATATGGTTGCAACTTACTGAAGGTGAGGGGCACTACCTTTACCTTTACATTGGCAGCTACAAAAGTGGTAAAACTGTGATATTTCTTTTTTCACTAACATGCTTTCTTTGAAATGATGGCCTTTCTATCCCAAGATTTTGTTTTTTTGGTCTGAAATTAAAAAATTGAAAGATTACTCAAACGGATTTTATGGATTCGAACTAGAGACCTCTGGTCTATAGGTCAAGGCTCTTTTTCACTGGACTATATCTCGTTGTCTTAAAACCGCTTTCTTAGATAAAGTTTATGGAGAAATTGAAAAAAAAAACACCGAAAGTTTTTCTTTTGTTTTTTTCACTTTTGCTCAAATTATTATAGGGATATTTTAGTAACAATGTTTCATTTCATTGTATGAAGAACTTTCGGTGCTAGATATGCGCCCACTGCTTTAAGGCCCCGTTTGGGATTGCTTTTTTTGGCCAAAAATCTGCTTCACTTTAAAGTTAAGCAGTTTAAGGTGTTTGGTAAAAATAAAATATCCCGATTATTTTAAAAGCAGTGGCCTTTTGACAGCAGCTTTTACAAGCAGGCTCTGGGTTGCTTTTCAAAGCTGCTTTCAAAAGAAGCAGAGATGAACTTTTAATGAAAATTTTTAATTCCCAAAATACCATAATTCATTATAAAAAATGACACCACCTCCACTTCCACATCCAACTTCACCACTTGCACCACCGCATTCACTACCTCCACCACCACCACCACATCCTTCTCCTCCTCATCCTCCGCCACCACCACCACAACCACCACCTCCTCCACCACCTTCACCACCTCCTCCTCCACTTCCACCACCTCCTCCACCTCCACCTCCACCACCACCACCACCACCACAACCACCTCCTCCTCCAAAACCTCCACATCAACTACCACCTCCACAACCAACACCACAACCACCACCATGCTGCCACTACCACCACCTCCACAATCGCCATCCCCACCACCATCACCACCACCACCACCACCACTACCATAACCACCAACTCCACCTTCATCACCACCACTACCTCCACTCCATCACTACCACTACCACCACATGATTAGTACATAACACTTTTAACATCATGTCTATTTTAGTTATTATTCACAGTTACAACAAATTTATATTAAAATTTACCAAACGATTTTGACACTGCTTTTTGTACTAATAGCACTTTAAAAATATTGTTTACAAAACATGGAGCTGCTTTACTTTACAGCTAATTATTTTCAAAGCACAGCAGAAGCAACTTTTTTTAAAAGTGACAGCAATCCCAAACTGGGATAGTGCACATGGTCAAACAGTGATATTTCTTTTTCTTTTTTCACCGACGCGCTCTCTTTCAAATGATGGTCTTTCTATTCAAAGATTTTGTTTTTAGGTCTGAAAATAAAAAATTGAAAGAATACTGAAACAAGTTTTATGGTTTATTTTTTCTTATATTGGTCTAATAGCAGCAATGTTGACGACTCTCTATGGTATTTAGTTATAGTCAGTTGACGCAGTTTCTTTGTAATGCGAAGGTACCTACAATTTGTTGAAGTGAAGGGTAAAGAACCTTCAAGGCAACTTCTCGTGTTTTTTTCCTAGATGCGAAGGTACCTACTTTTTGGCTAAGGTACTCTTCACTATTATTAAGGCTGGTTTGTACCTCTTTTCTTTCAGTACATGCTATCTTCGATGGAAAATGTATTCTCTCTCGCAATGGGGCTCTATGTCCGCGACTTTAAAAAAAAAAATTTTCCAGATTTTTAGTCCCACCTTTTACTATTATTTGCAATTGATATAAACTGCTATATAAAAATAATAATTACAGAGTTGCTTTCATGTCATGTGGGTTCTGACCCATGAGAGGGTGCATGTGCTTCATTTGAACCATCATATGTGTTTTCTGAGTTGTTTATCTCAGCAACAGAAGACACCATATTATCTCAGCAACATTAGCACTGTCTTTTTCATCTTCATTTTCAAACCCCAAGTGGGAACTCACTTTTCCTAGTCCGCTTCTACCTTCAAGGGTACGAACCTTCAAGGTAACTTCTTATCTTTAATAGTGACTCGCTTTCTTTTACTACATGATAAATAGGTATTGTATTCAAGATTTTGAGCCTCTGCATAATAATTATGCATTCACTCTCATTTCGTTACATTTAAAACGTTCTAATAATATAAGGACCAATAATATGACAAGTCAAACTCCAAATAAATATTATTCTCCGTTAACACTATTAAGTCCAAATAATATTTTAAAAATAACAATGCTTGCCATGGATTTTAACCTTTGCCTTGACCTCTACTTTCCTGTCGAAGATAAGAACCCGAAAGTATCAAGAGTTTGTGGAAACTTGAGAAAATGTATATTATTATATTGTCATAGACTAGTTGGAACTCTTTCTTTTGTTTACCAGCCCCTCACCATAAATATTAATATTATCAAAATTTGTGAGGTTAAAATTTTCTATATAGATATTGGTAATCTTAAGGGCATTTCCAGCAGCCCACTCGGGCTCGGGCAGGGGGGGGAGCCCAAAAGCAGGTTCCAGCAACAAGTGCTGGCCCAGGCAGTGTGGGGTCCACTTGCCTGGGCTGGCCCGAAGACGGAGGCAGCCCGAGTGCGAGCTGACGTCATCGCTGATGCCAGCGTAACGTTAGCACGCGGTTGTAAATTTTTTTTACTGTTGGCGCGTGACGTTAAAAAAAATTCAAAATCGCGCGTCAGCTTTTGCGCCCAACAGTAACGTGCGACGTGGCAACCTCTCGTCCTTCCGATTTCGCCTTGTCAGCCAATTCGACGCCCTGGAATTTTTCCAGGCAAAAATTGATGAAAAAAAATCGTAAAATTTTTTTAAAAAATCCCAAAAAATACTGACTTTTTTTCTATAAATACCAACACCTACTCTTCAGTTTTAACAACAAATTCTCATACATCTTCTCCTTCTCCAACTATTATTCACTTTCTATTCAATATTTTCTTCACTTTTTACTCTAAATTGTTTTCATTTTTTAAGTGTAATTTTTCTCTATCATTATGGCTTTTTCTCAAGAAACCGGAGGGGCATGGAGCATCATGGAAGATGTCTTGTTGTGTGAGTGTTGGCTCCAAATTAGTCATGATCCCATATCGGGTAATGAGATGAAATTCAGTCAAATGTGGAAAAAAATTCTTCACGAATTTGTTGAAAGATCGGGTTCCACCCGTACGGAAAGCGCATTGTCAAGTCGGTGGAAACTTCTCAACAAAGAGTTGGGGAAATGGAGAGATGCCCTCACAAAAGCGATGAATAACCATGCAAGCGGGGAAAATCTAAGCGATGAGGTAATTATTTGTAATTTTCATTTTATTAATTTTAATGTCCTATTAATTTTAATTTTAATGTTTCTTGCAATTGGTATATTTTGTTAATATTTCTTGTATTTCCATATGTATTTAAATGTTTCTTGCATTCTTTATATTTTGTTATTATTTCTTGTATTTCTAATATTTATATAAATGGTTGTTGCATTCTCTATATTTTTTTTAATATTTCTTGTATTTCCATATTTATTTGAATGTTTCTTGCAATTTTTATATATTTTTTTAATATTTCTTGTATTTCTAATATTTATTTGAATGTTTCTTGCATTCTTTATATGTTGTATTTCTAATATTTTCATTCATATGTTTATCTTTTTTGCATTACCAATTTTTTTTTAAGTTCCTTGCTTATTCAATTTTTTTTTATATAGATTGTGCAAGCTCAAATGTTCTATGGTGCTACTGGACTAGGGAAAAAAAGTTTCACCCATACCCAATTTTGGGAGGTGGTGAAGCATTGTAAGAGATTTAGCATTATTCCAACGGCTCCAACGGTGGTGTTAAACGAGACGCCACTTCATGATTCACAAGCTTCGGATTCGCCCATGGAATCCCCTATGAGTGAAGACTTACCCATTCAAAAGGAGCCGAGGCCTATGGGGAGGAAGGCGGCGAAGGCAAAGAGAGGAGTTAATTATACGAGTAATACCTCTAAATTTTTGGAGGAAATTGCAGGGCAAAGCGCCTTGAGAATTGAAATAGACAAGAAAGTCCAAGAAGATGATAGGGCAATGGCAATAGAATTTGCTAAAGAAAGGGAGTATGTACGCAAAGAAAGGGAGTATCGACGCAAAGAAAATGAAGAAAAGAAGGATCGGGAAACCATGGCCATGGATACAAGCCACATGTCTCCTGAAACAAAACAATATTGGAAGCTAGAACGAAAGGCTATTATGAGACGAAAACTTTTTCGTGATGATGGACCTAGCAATACGGATTGGTTAAATGATGAAAACCCTTAAGTTAGTTTGCTTGCCTTTTCATTTCATTGTATTTTAATGTTTTGTTTTAAAAATTAGTTGGAATTCATGTATTTTATTGTATTAGTAGTATTGGTTTTCTTTGAGTTACCAAAGAAACTATTAAATAAAATTCCTTTTTATTCAAAAAATTCAATGTATAAAAAAACTAACCACAACCAAAGCATTAAATTTGAAAAAAAAATTTCTGAAATTTGAAACCGAAAATCTTATCTGAAAATCTTATCCAAATATTTTATCAGAAAATCTCATCCGAATATATTGTCCAAATTAATTGTTTAGGTAAACAAATTTGTGAAAAAAACAAAAAATTGAATAGTATCCCCCCTTGCCATGGCAACTGCTAGAAGTGGAACTTACTTTTTGCAAGGGCAGAAACTATTCTCGTGAATAGTGTCAGTCCTAACCCCCCCCCCTTGCCATGGCAAGATTCCAACTGCTGGAAGTGCTCTAATGGGGTCTTCTTCGTCTCCCTATCCCTTTTTCCCATTGACTTAAATGGTAATTTTTTATACGTCAACGTAGTTTCTGTCTTATGCTACGTTCCTACACTACAGTGTGAATGTGTTGAAGTAAATGGTTAGGAACCTTCAAGGAAATTTCTTCTCTTGGACGGTGATACCTACTCGGACAGTTGGTGTCAATTGCCCCTCATTGACCCTTTTCTTTTACCTACAAAACAGGCCAAATACAAACTAGACTGTACCTTTGCTGCACCATGTTTGTCTAAAGCAGCTTCACACGATAGATCACCCTGTGAAGTATGTGATATAAACTAATTATAAAATGTTAAAATAAATCTTATCACAGCTAGGAGTATTTTCATACAATCAAAACCAAAAGGGCCATAAGTACCAATACCATACCAAATCAAGTAGAAATTTCAGTGCCTTTGCTACAATATAAAATTGCTAGAACAAGAAACACATTCAAAGCAAAGGCATATCAATGTCTTTAAGCAGGGGCTAATTACTGTGTAACATGATTTAACATGTTAGAAATTGAACAGCCACAAAAATAAAAAGAGAGGTACACTCCTAGTCTTGAGATGAAAGTCTTCTAATTGCAAGTGAGAGCTTTCTTTCTGACCTGCGACAGCTTTCTTTCATCGGTTCATGATGATGCTTTTTTCTTTTTGACTAACATCTCTTCACAACGTTGTCTTAACACCGCTTTCTTAGGCAAAATTTAAGGAGAAAATAAAAAAACAAACACCCAAATTTTTTTTTTTTTTTTTTTTTATTCATTTAATTATTATAAGGATATTTTAGTAACAATGTTTCATTTCATTGTATGAAGAACTTTCGGTGCAAGTGCAACTACAAAGTGGTCAAACTCAGACGGTGAAATTTCATTTGTTACCACGCGCTTTCTTTGAAATGATAGTCTTTCGGTGCAAGTGCAACTACAAAGTGGTTTTTTTTTCTTAATCTAGTCTAATAGCAATGTTGACGACTCTATCTCTATGGTATTTAGTTATAGACTATTCTGCCGAGGCAGTTTCTTTGTAATGTGACGGTACCTACAAAGTGTTGAAGTGAAGGGTAAGGTACCTTCAAGGCAACTTCTCATTTTTTGGAAGATGTGCTTTCTTTCAATATGTGATGGAACGTCTACTTTTTGACTCAGAAATGAGGCTCTACGCCTGGACTTTACATTTGAAGCTCTAAATTTTTATGTTGTAATTTAGCTTACGTGCTAATTTTCCTTTTTATTCTTTTATTTTCTGTAATTGTATTTGGTGGAGAAGAAATGAGGTGGGTATTTAAAAGGAAAAATTGGGTTGAAAAACTTGAAATAAATAAATCAATAAGCATTGGGCTAAAAAAAATCAAACACAGCCGTTGGATTGGCTGTAAATAAAAGGGAAAGCATTATAAAAAATAAAATAAATAAAAAAATCTAAAGTTACCGTTCCATTTAAATAAAAAGAAAAAAGAATAACATGATGGAACTGAGAAATAGATGGTCTTTAAGTTAGCGAAGAGTAGAATATTGTATAGTTGAAACTTTTTCTTCTTGAGCACCACTTCCCTTTTTTTTTTCTTTTTGTCATGGAATTGTTTATATCCCATATTTCAGAGATTTTGGAATTGTAATGACCCCTTCCCACTCGTACAGTTCATCTGGTTGAGCTAATAGTAGAGGGAACATGTAATGATTTTTTCGGGTATTAAACTCTTTTTTTTTCAAAAAAAACAAAAAAAAAAAAAAAAAAAAAAACTAACAATTTTGGAAAAGAAAAGAAAAGAGATAAGTAAAGTTTATGAGCCCAAAAGTTCATGAGGCCCCAATATTACACAACTGGGCATGTTTACGTATCAGTAATGGAAAAACTAAGGAATCAGAGAATTTAGGAATTGGAGATCTACTAAATCGGTATGGGAAGAATCATTCCCATTAAGCTGTTCACTAAACATATGGAATTAGCAATGGAATGGGATTGATTCCCATTGTTATTGTTTACTAATTTGCACGAATCAAAATCCAAATTAATTTTAGAATTATGGTAAAGTGATAAGGGTATTTTTGGAAGTTATTAAGAGAAAACAAGAATGGGAAATCGTATCGACTACTCCCCCCTAGTTGATCTGATTCCTAGTTTTGAGGGAATGTGATTACGGATTTTGAGGTGGGACCCACTTATTTTTTCATTCCTGATTGCAAGTAAACGCAAGAGAAGTCAGGAATGGAAATCATTCCCTTTCCTCCCATACCCATTACTGATACGTAAACATGTAGTTGAAGTTTATGATGTCATGAACTAGAAGTTTATGATGTCATGAACCAAAAGTTCATGAGCCCCCAATATTACACAACTATTAAATTAGTTGAAGATTATGATATCATGAACCAGAAGTTCATTGACCGGATAACTTTTATGTTGTGGCATGACTATCTTGGCAATCCATGTTCCACAATGATACATAAGATTTTTATAAATTTGTAAGGACATCGTTTAAAGACTCAAAATATTGTCTTGTCCAACAAATATCATTACAAAGAACAACTGAACTTATAGAAACGTGGATGCATCTACGATGAGATGGGAGACTAAAACTATGTTTCTACCAGGAAACCTTATATTATATTAGTGATCTTATTTCACTTCACAAACACTAATTCGTAACATTCATACTTAACATTTGTAATTCGATATTTGAGCTATAGGTTAAATATCCCACACTTCATATTTAGTGATAAATGGAATTTGCCTATTTCTATTTTGGCCAATCACTTAACTTGTCGACACTCATAAGGCGATTTGATGGTACAATTCAATAGCTTCAGTTTATTGGCATGTGGATATGATAGTTAGTCTATTGCAATTCAATATAGGATTAATCACATTATAGCACCCTCTATTGCAATGAACCAAATCACACAATTGAAAGTGACACTTTACTATTTTAGTTCAATTTCATACAATAAAATTGCGTTGATCTTAACCATTGCATATGATCTTATGAACCCAATTGTCCGAAGTTAGTGAAAAACACTTGAGTACACTGGCGGACTTTGTTTATGGCTAGTAGGGGTCCCCACTTCTTATGCTATATAATTATGACTTCTTTATTTAAAGAAAATATATTAGCCCCGATAAAGAGAATAATTCACAACAAAACATATTTCATGTTTTGGTATACATAATATTTGTATCTTTGTAATACTTATATCCTTCCCCTATGGTTTTTAATATTATATATTTGTATGTGCGTATAAGCTAGCTGTTTTTACTGTTTTCTCTTAGATTAGAGGTTTCAATTACCTTTTATTTTTGTGTTTGGGTTAAATAGAATTTTGTTTATTCATAAAAATAAAATAAAATATTTGTTTATATCCGTTATTGTCATGTAAGTTTGGCCTTGGATCCATCGTTGGTTGATACAATTAACATAGATTTATTTTGAGATGCTTGTAATTAAAAAAAAAACAAAAGAATATATAAGAAAACAGAGAAATTTGACTAGATTAACAAAAAAAATACAGCAACAAGAAAGTTGCTTGTCTATGTGAGGAGGGAACCTAATTCTTTTTGTGGCGTGCTGCGTCCGATATTCTTCCGATTGCAATTAACTTTATTTATGAGGAAAGTGATTTCATCTCTGCTATGCTCCAGGTGTGGTAGGGAAGGAGATACTACTATGCATGCTCTCTGGCAGTCCAAGGGTAATAAATAGTTTTGGCAATTGTTTTCATGTTGGCATAGGGTGAAGGTGGCGGTTGGCTCCTTTGCAGACTTTTTGGAGAGGGCTGCCAATGTTTTAATGGGTTTGGAGTCAGAGTCTTTTGTATGTAGTTGCTGGAAAGTATGGCAGTTGCGCAACTTCTATATCCATGGTAAACCGCAAGCTTCTGTGGAGGTAAGGGACTTATATGCGCTGTATAAAGAATGCAATATGAAGACAAAAGCTGATCGGGTGCCTCGGTATCTTAGGTGGATTAAACCACCTGCTGGACAATTGGTTTTGCATTGTGATGGTAGTAGGTGGTTTGGTTCGTGATTGCCATGGCGAGTTTTGTTGGGGTTTTGCGGCTGCTAGCTTGGATGGTTCTAACGTTTTGAGAACTAAGTTGGTGGCTATTTGTAGCGGGCTACTTTTGGCAGCTGCTAAAGGTATGGTTTATTTGACTATCGCTTCTGATTCACAAGAAGCTGTGAATATGATTAATGGCACTGATGGGTGGTTGAGTAATTTGGGTAATCTAGTTGATGATGTAAACACGAAAATCCTGTGGCAAATGAGATAAGAACACATGTACAAAATAATATTTGTATTAATGAAATTTAGGGTTACAATCTCTATATTAAATCCTCTGATTCGATCTCCAAAGTGTTTAAAGAAAATTTGTGTTTGATACAAGGGTCGTAGAGACTTGATCTTGATCAAACAAGTAGCATAAGGCTTGTTTGGTGTTTGGATTTTTTCTAGGGTAGAGGAACTGACACGTATTTGTTGTGCTTGGTGGCTCTTCCAAAGTGAGGTGAAGAATGCAGAGAGTTTTCTGTTTCTTCTGAATGCTTGGTCTATCTAAGCCCCTTTCTTTCGTCTTGAGGCCTCCTATTTATGGACCCCTGCAGAATGCTTGACCTAAATAACTTTTCTTCTTTAGGAACCTGCTTTGTGGGATTTTGATTTGATTTAAAATTATGATAATTTGGCAATTTAACCAAATTATCTTCGATTGATTGACTTAATTAATATTTGATTTAAATCAAAGTCAATCACAAAAGATTCTTTCCTTTAATTTTGTCTTCACTTTGAACCGTTTGATGCACTCTGTCGGATGTCAACACGTGTCACTTTTGACAACTAATCCGAATTTGATGAGTTGTACGCCACACGAGCGAATTATGGGCCCAACAATTTAATCAACCAAACCTTAATTATTTTCTTACTTAGTGGAATTTAATTCACCAAAATTTCCATGTCTACAGATGATATTCGGATGCTGTTGGTGCAGTTGATGTCACGCCCCGAAAATCGGGCACGTAATAGCGCCACGCCCTATCGACAACGTAGTGCTACACTGTTAAGAACCTAACATCATAACACTACGTTCTCAATAGAACGTAAGGATTTTGAGTTAGGAATAAGACTTTCAAAACGGTGCGGAAATGTAAATAAACTCGTTATATTCACAAGCAACCTTTTATTTACAAAACCCACTAGAGTACAAAATTTACAGTAGATTCCAACAAGAAAACAGATTCTTTTCGGAACACAATTCAAAACATCCAAAACAACTCAAAAGAAGACGGAAAGAACCTAAACCTCAGTTGTCAAAATACAAGTAAAGGTAGTTGACAAGATCACAAACACGCCCTTGATAAACTCAGTTCAATAATACTGCCTATCCACCTCTTAACATCAAAAGAAAAAGGGCATCTGTTCATTCCTTCACTGCTTTTTTATTTATTATTATTTTTTTTATCAACCTGTATCTTGCAGGAGAAAAGAATAGAAAATACATAACTCGGCTTCCAAGTAATTTATTATGTGAAATTGATATGAGATAATTCAGTAAATGTTAGAAAGTTTCTCTGTGAAGGCACTGCTTAATAAATTGCTTTAAGATAGTGCACATTGGCAGCTACAAAAGTGGTCAGTTGAAGCAATTTCTTTGTAATGCGAACGTACCTACAAATTATTGAAGTAAAAGGTAACTTTCAAGGCAACTTCTCGTCTTTTTTGTTTTTTTTCCTAGATGCGCGTTCTTTTAATACTTGATGGAACGTCTACTTTTTGACTAAGACCTCTTCATTATTATTAAGGCTGATTTGTATCTCTTTTACTTCTAGTACACAGTGACGGATCCAGGATCCGAACTCCGTAGGGTCATAATGTAAATGTTCGAAAGAAATTTTAAAAATGGGTTATTTTTCTTATCTATTTTTTCTCTTCCAAATTTTATTCCTTTATTAGAAAAATATACTTTGAATGATTTCAATTTGTCAATTTTTTTATGTATTTTTTGAGTGTTTCAATTCATAAAATTTCAAACCAAACCTATGCCAATTAACCAAAAAACGAAAAAACCACAACCGCCTAATCAACAAAAATAAGCAAAAACTTCATCCAACAAATAAATCTAATACATATAAATCATAAATTTCATCCAATCAATTATAAATTTGATTTCCATTAAATTAAAACCAACATGCATTTTGTTCTAATTACAATTTTTTTTTTTTTTTTTTTTTTTTTTTTGTGGGGAGAATTCTTAAGTGTTAAATAGTGGTAATAAAACCATATTGTGGTCATCCTTAGATAAAATTACAAGTAAAGTTCATCATTCATGGATTCTAATTTCTAAGCCAGTCATTGGAATTTGAAAGGAAGAAATAATAATAAATGAAATAAAGTTGACTTGTTGATTCCAACAACAAAACAGGTTAAAAAGATTAAAAAGAAAATAGTGTTATAAACTAAATAGATTGAGATTGAGAAACTGAAAGATTGAGAGAATTGAAAGGGAGAGAAATCCTAGTTAGGGAGTTTTATTCAGATTGATCAATCATTACAATGAAGATGAGGCCTCCCTTTTGTTTTTTTTATGAACAGAGGCCTCCCTTTATAGAAGGGAGGAAACGTGCTCATCAGGTATTGTACAGGGAAAAGGAAAAACATGTGGGCTCCACATGCATGTATTTACAACAAACAGTTTAATGTTGGAGAATGGAGGGATACGGAAGGGTTTTTAATTTTAAAAATTTTCCTAGGCCAAAACGACGTCGTTTTGCCCAGGTGTTTTAAAAAATAAACAGAAGCGCGTTGCGCTGCCTCTTCTTCCTCTTGCGCACAGCTTCCTCCCTCTTCCTCTTAGGCAAAACATCAAACATTTGGAGGGCAATCCAAGGGGTCACACAGCCAACTCAAGTGGACCTCCAACCCTATTTCCATGGCTTCCATAGGGTCATTTGACCCCAGTGACCCCACTGTGGGTCCGTCCCTGCCAGTACATGGTACCTTCGATGGAAAATGTATTCTCTCTCACAATGGGGCTCTATGTCCGGGACTTTATATTTGAGGCTCTAAATTTTTTATATTGTAATTTAGTTTACGAGATAATATTCTTTTTTATTCTTTTATTGGGTCATTTACACTAACAGCCCTTGAGCTTTTTGATTTTTTCACAAAACTCTTTGGAGTTTCAGAAATTACACAAACACCCCTCAAGATTTTAATTTGTTTTCACAAAACTCATTTTTGTTAATTTTTAGTTTAATTTCAATTTAGTACCTTGAACTCTCACTCTTAAAGAATGTTTGTCCTTGCACTCTCAATTTTAACAATTATGTACCGTAATCTTTTTAATTTTTTGCAATCTAGTTTCGACTGTCAAAATTTCCCTTAACTGTCTACGTGGCAGGCATGGGTCCCACCTTTTTGCTGCTTTCGATGTCAGTTGAAAGTATTTTCGATCAATTAGTTGAAAATGATACTTAGGTGACGAGGGGTAAACTTAATCACATAAACAAAACAGAACAACACAGCTAGCTTCACACACTTTAAACCTTGACCAAATACACATATGACTAGTCAACTACTAGTCAAGAAACAATCACAACCAATAGAATACACAGAGCATGCCACAATGTACCTGCAATCCTAGAAGATTACTAGTGACAACCTAGGCACTCAGAAGGACCCATCAATCTAGGCATCCCCTGTGCTAGCAACAACTATGGTGAAAGTGTGTGAAAACATCATTATCATGTAAACATCAAACAGCAGATACAGATGACTAGTCAACCACCAAGAACACAAACCCAGAAAAATTACAGATATGCAAAACAGATTTTGTTCACCCAGAAACCCACCATTGGGAAAAACTGGGAGTCATCAACCGACCAGGCAATCCACTAAGTAGAAAAAGATTCTTACAAAGGAAACACAACCAAGCTCAAGAAGCACCTAGGTCTATTTAGGAATATGAGCAATACCTCCTTTGTGCAATCTTCTTCTCCAACTTAGCAAAGCTTGTAGCTCAGTCCTTCATGGCAATGGCAGCTCCTTCTCCAGCTCGTTCATCCCATGGCACTAGCTTGCAAGCTCCAACACAAACCGAAACCAATTTGGATTCAAAGGAGAAAGATCAATTTCTTCAAGAAACCATACTTTTGAAGAAATCAATCTTGAATCCGACCTAGATATAAATGATAGAATGATTTAAATAGCTAGATGCAGATTCGTGTTTCAAATGCAGTTTTTCAAAAAGAAATCAATTGGAAAAACTCATAGATGAAAATGGTTCTCTCGTGGAAGAAGAAGCGAAAGATGGCAAGCCAAACTTTCCAAAACTTCTCCCCAAAAAGAGACAACAGCAAATCAGAAATATCGTGGGTTATACAGCCAACCAAATCGTTAGGTCAGCCAAACCCACTTGACAGCAGAGAGAGAGAAAGAAGAATAGGACAAAACAGTTTGTTATCCAGCTGGAGGCAAGGATGACTAGTCATATGAGAAACGGTTGACTAGTCATCTTTTTATGAAAACAGTTTTATGTAATGATATGCAATGCTCAATACCTTTGTCAACTTGCTTGAGCCACCATAGAGCAGAGAATAGAGAAGAGCACCAATAAATGTTTTCCCTAATCTAGACTTGAGCTTGATAAATTACATTACACATCCTATTACAAAGTTGTCAAGGGAAGCCAAAAGAAATTAGTAAAAACCATACATTAACAATCTCCCCCTTTTTGGCTTTCCTTGGTAACACACTCTCTAAGAACACTCAACCCAAAACCGAGACTAAGGAGATGATGAAGTGAGGGTACCTGCAAGAACAACCAATCTTCCCAGCACAAAAACAAGCATATTATCACAGAAATTTTTTTAAAAACAATATGCGATGTGGGGTTGAGAGTGTTCTCCCCCTTGTTGATAAGGAAAGTGCAAAAAGGCAGAGAGATAGAAACAACAGATAAAAGGGATTAACCACAAGGTGATAGGCATATAGGAACAAGGATAACAGCACATGTTCATAGATGGATGACTAGTCAACCAACAATAGTTTAAAAACAGTACAGACCATAGAGTTATGACTAGTCAAATACCAGTTGTTCAAAATAGGACAGAACAACTCCCCCTATCACAATGCATAGACTACCCATAATGTGATTACAAAAACAATCCCCCCTAGCAAAATGCACAGACTACTCACAATGAGATTACAAAACACCTCCCCTTTTCAAAATGCACAACCTATCTAGACTTAATCTTCCTATCTAGGACACAGCCAAGAGAACACCAAGCTAAAAGATCAAAGAGCCACCAGAATCCACAGAGTCATCCGAGTCCTCATCAGTGGCAGAAGCAGGCTGAGGATCTGCAGTGGCAGCAGCAGCAGCAGGTGCAGGAATCGAAGTGGATGGAATGAGGGTCAAAAGATGTTGGATATACTCCTCCTTGGCAGCCAGCTGAGCTCTGAGAGAGGCATTCTCAGAGGAAGACGACACAGAAGTGAGAAAGGTCCTGGAAACTCTCTGGCTAAGGGCAGCAGAGGCCTTGCCATAAGGACCAATGGGGGGATGCCACTGATCGGAATCAAGAAATGCCACCCCATTTTTCTCACAAAGGCGCTGAATCAGACAGGGGAACACAAGAGTCCCCTTGTGCTTGGTACCATGACCAATGGTTTTCCCAAGAATGGCATTATATAGGATATCACCAAGGGGAATTTTATCATGATTCACCATGGATATCATGAGTTGGCAGGCAGCAAGAGTGGGATTAGAATTGTTCCCAGTGGGGAGAACATTATGACGGATAAAATCCCACAAAAATTTATAAAAAGGGGACAAGTAAGACTTGATAGGCAGACCTTTAGAGGTCAAAGGCAAGGATTGATCAGTGTATGCCATGGATTTAAAAAGATCAACAGAGTATTCAGCAGAAGCAAGAGCAAATTTTGCAAAATCAAAACCAGGGCATGATCGAAAACCTAAGACCCGATTGATAACAGATGGTTTCAGAGTAATGGGTACTGACCTAACCAAAATCTGATACTTGGACTCCTTAGGGTCAGCAGGAAAGTTAGAGTAAAATTCTTGAACAACAGGGATGTTAAACTTACTAGAGAGAGAATTTAGGGCTTGAAGGTGGTAGTGCTCCAAAATCTGATTTGCAGACTCCTGAGCCGCCAAGGGAACTGCATCAAACTGGTAAGTCCTCTCAGGAATGAATTTTCTCTTTGAGACAACCTCATTAAAGAAGGAGGCAGCCTCATTAGACACAAAAGGAGAAGAATCTCCAACAGGAACAGAGGAAGAAGAACGGGTTCGAGGAACCCTAGGAATTGACGGATTGAAATCCACCCTGTCAGTGGATTTTGATTTGGAGCGACGGTGGTAAGTGTGGAGAGGCTCGGAGGAAGACATGGTCAGCAGCGGGAAGGAATTTGGAAGAGAAAACAAATGGAAGAAGGGGGCGAAAAGACCAGAACAGAGTGAGAGGGAGAGAAAAACTCTGAAACGGAAGACTGACGAGAACAGAGAGAGAGGGAAGAGACAAGCGAAAGAGACGAAGAAGGGAAAATAAAAGACCTAAAAAGGAAAAAAAGGCGCAAACGACACGACCTAAAAAAAAAGAACCGCTCAGAACCAAAAATGGAAAAAATAACCGCCAAAACGAAAAATGAAAAAAGACGCAATGTTTAGGAAACAAAGCGGATGACTAGTCAACCACAAGCAAGATGACTAGTCAACCCAGGCAAAAGTGGCACAGGCAGAGACGGATGACTAGTCAACCACAAATATGATGACTAGGCAACCACAAATATGATGACCAGTCAACTAATGCAATATGAGAGGGAACAGCAAGGCAAAACACCCAGATGACTAGGCAACCATAAGCATAGATGTCTAGGCAACTAAACCAGCATTATGACACACACCAAATAATATCGACCCTGTGAAAGACATGATTTTGGTGATTTTTTATTTGGTTATTTTTAAATTTGAAGCATGAACCAGCACATATATCAAGTGACCAAGGTGGCATGAGCACAATAGTCTAAACCAAGTCTTCAACACATGAAGAAAAGAGATGAAAAAGAGGAATAGTTTAAAGACATATGCAGTGTACATAGACAATCAACTCTGAGAGACACGCAATGAGATGCAATTCATGCTCAGAGACAAGGCATATTTAGGAAAGAAGGAGGTTTAGAGCCAAGGGACACAAGAGATGATATCTAATCTCTCTTGGAGAGACACGTATACACTGCATTCTTAAGACATGATCATAGTATGGGCTCACAGCAAAAAATCAGCACTCTCTATGGACAAAATATTTGATGATTGAGTTTGTGGTACTTGCACATCCCGAACATAAGTGCTTAGAATGGCCCAATTTTACGGCTCTTTGCTCTAGATTCTTCAATCAAACCACCTTATACCTTCCTAGAGCCGTGACTACATTGGTCACACTTCCTTTTTTTTTTTTTTTTTTTTTTTTTTTTTTTTGTTAAAATTTGAAATAGATTGGCAAAGAGAGTGAGACCAGCTAAGAGAGAATAACAAGAACAGTCCCAAAATGAAGCCGAGATACATGGCTCACCAAGAGGACAAGATAGCAAGATTTTGGTCTCAACTAACAGCTCAAAAACAAGAAAAAGGGATTATGCACAAGTCAAACAAAGCACAAAAACATTCAGCATGCACACCAGCAGAGATGAGTGATATGAACAGTAACATAGTGGACTAGGCAACTTACAAGCAAGATGACTAGTCAACTGTTTGGAAGTGTGCTGAAGACAAGGAGCAGACTAGCTAATCAATCAATGGAACAAAGGCCAATGGATTGCCTTAGTGTACCATGTTTCTGAAAGTCCAAGGCCTTGGTGAGTATATCTGCTAGCTGTTTTTCAGAGGGAACAAATTCCAAAGTTAAAATTTTGTCTTCCACAAGGTCTCTAATAAAATGGTGCCGAATGTCGATATGCTTAGTCCTAGAGTGTTGAACAGGATTTTTTGAAATATCTATGGCACTCATGTTGTCACAATAGATTAGAAAACATGATTGAGCAAGACCATAGTCTTCCAACATTTGTCGCATCCAAAGGAGTTGAGTACAACAACTCCCAGCGGCAACATACTCTGCTTCAGCAGTGGATAAGGAGACAGAATTCTGTTTTTTGCTATGCCAAGCAACAAGATTGTTGCCTACATAGAAAACCCCCCCGGAAGTGCTTTTCCTATCATCACTACAACCTGCCCAATCGGCATCACTATACCCAACAAGATTGACACAAGTGTCATAGGTATACCACAACCCAAAATCACTAGTCCCACTCACATATTTTATAATTCTCTTAACAGCAAACAAGTGAGACTCTTTTGGGTCACTTTGAAACCGAGCACATACACCAACACTAAAAGAAATGTCAGGTCTACTAGCAGTCAAGTAGAGAAGACTTCCTATCATGCTTCTATAGAGAGTTTGATCCACACTTTTGCCATGCAAGTCTCTATGAATCTTAGCACTAGTGCTCATTGGAGTTCTTGCAGATTTGGCTCCTTCCAAACCAAATTTTGTCACAAGATTTTTTGCATATTTAGATTGGGATACAAAGATCCCATCATGGCTCTGTTTAATTTGGAGACCTAAGAAATAATTAAGCTCACCGACAAGACTCATTTCAAATTCACTAGTCATGACATGAATAAAATCTTGAACATGCAAATCAGATGTAGAACCAACCACAATATCATCAACATACACTTGAGCAATCAAGACATCCTTTTTAAACCTTTTCACAAACAATGTTTTATCAACGGACCCTCGAACATACCCATTTCCTAGAAGATGAGAGGATAACCTCTCATACCATGCTCTAGGAGCTTGTTTTAAACCATAGAGAGCCTTTTTTAAACGAAACACATCATTTGGATGATGTGGATCTTCAAAACCCTTTGGCTGCTCAACATAGACCTCTTCATTTAGGACACCATTTAAAAAGGCAGTTTTGACATCCATTTGATAAAGTTTAAATTTCAAATGACAAGCAATGGCAAGAAGCAATCTAACTGATTCTAATCGTGCAACAGGGGCAAAAGTTTCATCAAAGTCAATGCCTTCCATTTGAGTGTATCCTTGAGCAACCAATCTAGCCTTATTTCTCACCACATTACCTTGTTCATCGGTTTTATTCTTGAAAATCCACTTAGTGCCTATGACATTAGTGTGGACTGGTCTTGGAACAAGGTACCAAACATCATTTCTCACAAATTGATTTAATTCTTCCTGCATTGCAAGAAACCATTCACCATGGTGCAAGGCTTCTTTCACATTTCTAGGCTCTTCCTTGGAAACATAACACACATGGCTAATTTCTTGAGCAAGTTGTTTCCTAGTTCTCACTCCTTGATTAAGAGGGCCAATAATGACACTCGCAGATGGAGTGAGAGAACTATGATCAGTATGAGAGCTGTCAGCCTGGACAGAGGAGATGGAACTAGAAGTTGAAGGGGTTGACAGGTCAACCGGGACAGAATTTTCAAAAGTTGACAGGTCAACCACAAGATCCAGACCTGGAGATTTTTGCACAAGTGGAGGAGGAGGAAAAAGACCATCCTCATCTAATGCCATCTCTATAGAGGCAGCAAAATCATCAATAGTGACATTTATGGATTCAATGATGGTTCTGGACCTACAATTGTACACTCTATAGGCTCGGCTAGAAGTGGAATATCCTAGAAAGATTCCCTTATCACACTTAGAATCAAACTTAGCAAGATGCTCCCTATCTCTCAAAATATAGCATGTGCTACCAAAGACCTTAAAATATGACACATTAGGCTTCTTTCCTTTCCAAATCTCATAGGGAGTTTGTTTGGTACCAGACCTCACAAATACCCTGTTTGAGATGTAACAAGCTGTATTGACAGCTTCAGCCCAAAAGTGTTTAGCAAGATTTTTGCTATTTAGCATCACCCTTGCCATCTCTACAAGCACTCTATTCTTTCTCTCCACAACACCATTTTGCTGAGGTGTAATAGGTGCAGAGAACTCATGTTTAATTCCCATCTCTTCGCAAAATTTCAGAAACTGAGAATTCTCAAATTCAGAGCCATGGTCTGTTCTAATTCTAACAAGAGGCAGATGACTAGTCATCTTCTCTTTTTGCAAAAGATGACAAACAGACTTAAACCTTTGAAAAGTTTCAGATTTCTCACGTAGAAATGAGACCCAAGTAAACCTAGAGAAATCATCAACCATGACAAGAATATATTTCTTTCCACCAAGGGACACGGTTTGAATAGGACCAACAAGGTCCATGTGAACAAGTTCTAGAATTACATTTGTTTGAATGTGTTTGACCTTTTTGTGTGACACTCTGACCTGTTTGCCTAATTGACATCCTTCACAAACATGCTCATCAGATTTTTCCAGCTTTGGTAAGCCACTTACTAGCTCTCTCTTGGACAACTTATGCAAGTCTCTAAAATTAACATGTCCAAGCCTTTGATGCCACAAAATACTTGTTTCATTTACAACCTTGTTGCAAACTATTTCTTTTGCATCGTTGACACCATCAATGCAGAAGCAATTGTCCCTAGACCTTGCCACGCTCACAATCTCATTTCCACCTTTTCCAATGATTTTGCAGCCATGCTTGGAGAATCTGACTTCTACTATTCCATCATCACACAGCTGACTCACACTAATGAGATTGGATGTGAGACCCTCAACAAATCTAACATTCTTAAGCTCGGGCAGACCAGGGATACAAACAGTACCTTTTCCAACAACTTGAGATCTATGACCTCCACCAAAAGTCACAGTGCCTCCATCAAAGGGGCTGAGAGATGAAAAAACATTTTTATCTCCAGACATATGTTTGGAACAACCACTATCAAAATACCAAGAGTTGATATTTGAAGCAGCAAAAGCATTTAGCACAACAAGAGATTTGGTATGACCTCTTGCAATCCAAGTAGACTTAGGCACAATAGGAGAACTCATTTTGAGGGAGACAAGTTTGGCTATCTTAGTGACCTCATTCAGCAAATGATCAACTTGATCTTGCAAAGATCTGGGATTTCTTTTAGATTTTGGAGACAATTTTCTAGTCTTATCTTTGCTATACATATGACAGACTGGTCGAATATGACCAGTCAACCCACACCTGTGACAAGTTGGAACAAACTTAGGTTTCTTGACAACCTGCTGAACATCAAGAGGAATTGTGACTGGATTTTCTGATTTGACAAACTTAGTGGTAGAACTAGACAAACTAGAACCAAAGTGATTAAATCCAAGACCACCTTTGTCCCCATGAAGTTTTCCCATATTCAACATTTTGTCAATTTTTGATGCACCAATGGTCATAGATATAATCTTCCTATTTGCTTCATTCAATTCACCTAGGAGCTGTTTGTTTGAGTTCTGGAAACCAATGTTACTTTCCTTGAGCACATTAACTTGGTTTTCGAGGTTACTCCTAATTGACACAAGAGCATCAATTTCTTTTTCTAGAGACTCAAATTTGTCACTCAACTCCTTTTTGGTTTCTTTTAAGATGAGAATTTCATTTTGAAGATCTTGTTTATTTGCCTCAAGTTTGAGGCTCTCTTCTTTCAAGGACAAGGTCTCTTTAAACAAACAATCATATTTTCTTCCTAATGACTCGTATGACAGGTCATCTGACTCAGAATCAGATTCATCAGACATGGGCTGTACAGAGGCAACAAAGGCAACATGTTGGTCATCATCATCAGAGGAAGATGAATCATCTTGAGAGCCTTCACTTTCACTCTCACTCCAGCTCACTTTCATGGCCTTGTCCTTTCCTTTGGAGTATTTTTTCTGATTGTTTGCACAGTCAGCAGCATAGTGTCCAATGCCTCCACATGTGAAGCACTTGACAGATTTTCTAAAATCTTTCGTGAAAGGTTTGACATCCTTATTCCTCTCATTAAACCGATCAGTTGATGGTCTAAAATTTTTCTCACTACCAGAGCTGCCGTCTCTAGCAAACTTTCCCTTATCCTTAAGAATTCTCCTAAATTTTTTGACAAACAAAGCCATCTCATCCTCAAAACCTGAGGATTTATCACCACCTTTCGGAGAGGAAACATGCACTCCTTGAAGTGCAACATTTTTTGATTTTTTGGAGTCATTCTCTTCCATGTTCAATTCCATCTCATAGGTTTTCAATTTTCCTACAAGCTTGCCAAGCTTAATTTCATTTAAATTTTGGACCTCCATGATTGCGGTTTTCTTTGCTCTAAACCTAGATGGTAGAACACGAAGAATTTTCTGAACAACAAGAAGCTCTTCAATGGGTTGACCTAGACTCATGGCTTCATTTGTGATCATCTCAACTCTTCCATAGAACTCAGAAATGGACTCAGATTCAGACATTCTAAGTTCTTCAAATTGTGCAAGCACCATCTGAAGTTTTAGGGTTCTAACTTGGTCATCCCCTTCATGAACTACCCTTAGTTTATCCCAAGCTTGTTTAGCATTAGGGATGTGTTGTATATGTGCAAATTGTGTGCTAGACAAAGCTGTAACTAAGGCATTTCTGGCCTTCTTGTTCGAATATGCAGCAAACACCTCAGCTTCAGTCCATTCTGGCCTAGGCTTGGACACAAGTTCACCCTCAACAGTCTTGACCGGAGCAACCCACTCTTTTGTGAGATACCCACTTGCATACTCATCAAGAGCATCAAGGAATATCTCAAATTTTTCTCTCCACGCAGCATAGTTATTGCCGTCAAAATAGGGAGGGGAGTTGCAAGATCCAGCAACTCGATCCCTTTCCATAGTGAGCACACCTAAACACCAAAACAAAACCTAGGATCTCTCTATTTTTGTTAAGAGCTGACGCTCTGATACCAATTGAAAATGATACTTAGGTGACGAGGGGTAAACTTAATCACATAAACAAAACAGAACAACACAGCTAGCTTCACACACTTTAAACCTTGACCAAATACACATATGACTAGTCAACTACTAGTCAAGAAACAATCACAACCAATAGAATACACAGAGCATGCCACAATGTACCTGCAATCCTAGAAGATTACTAGTGACAACCTAGGCACTCAGAAGGACCCATCAATCTAGGCATCCCCTGTGCTAGCAACAACTATGGTGAAAGTGTGTGAAAACATCATTATCATGTAAACATCAAACAGCAGATACAGATGACTAGTCAACCACCAAGAACACAAACCCAGAAAAATTACAGATATGCAAAACAGATTTTGTTCACCCAGAAACCCACCATTGGGAAAAACTGGGAGTCATCAACCGACCAGGCAATCCACTAAGTAGAAAAAGATTCTTACAAAGGAAACACAACCAAGCTCAAGAAGCACCTAGGTCTATTTAGGAATATGAGCAATACCTCCTTTGTGCAATCTTCTTCTCCAACTTAGCAAAGCTTGTAGCTCAGTCCTTCATGGCAATGGCAGCTCCTTCTCCAGCTCGTTCATCCCATGGCACTAGCTTGCAAGCTCCAACACAAACCGAAACCAATTTGGATTCAAAGGAGAAAGATCAATTTCTTCAAGAAACCATACTTTTGAAGAAATCAATCTTGAATCCGACCTAGATATAAATGATAGAATGATTTAAATAGCTAGATGCAGATTCGTGTTTCAAATGCAGTTTTTCAAAAAGAAATCAATTGGAAAAACTCATAGATGAAAATGGTTCTCTCGTGGAAGAAGAAGCGAAAGATGGCAAGCCAAACTTTCCAAAACTTCTCCCCAAAAAGAGACAACAGCAAATCAGAAATATCGTGGGTTATACAGCCAACCAAATCGTTAGGTCAGCCAAACCCACTTGACAGCAGAGAGAGAGAAAGAAGAATAGGACAAAACAGTTTGTTATCCAGCTGGAGGCAAGGATGACTAGTCATATGAGAAACGGTTGACTAGTCATCTTTTTATGAAAACAGTTTTATGTAATGATATGCAATGCTCAATACCTTTGTCAACTTGCTTGAGCCACCATAGAGCAGAGAATAGAGAAGAGCACCAATAAATGTTTTCCCTAATCTAGACTTGAGCTTGATAAATTACATTACACATCCTATTACAAAGTTGTCAAGGGAAGCCAAAAGAAATTAGTAAAAACCATACATTAACATTAGTGTCTTCCACAAGTACTTTTGTTAAAAAAATTAGGATTAATTACAGTTTAATACCCTATGGTTACACTCTTTAGACATGAAAAAACCACCTTACCAAAAAATGATGTGACAATTCAAGTGATCATATACACACTGAATCCACATTGTGGAAAAATGTTGAAAAGATTCTTTGCAAAGGCCCTTGTGATAAAAATAAAATAAAATAGATGGAAAATTTTTAGCTTTGGGCTTACATAGTCAACACGAGTTTTGGGCCTAGATTGGCAGCTACCTAATGTACAAACTTTTGCCCAATCATCTTTTCAAGATGCCTTACTTTTTCTTGCTTTTCACTTCTCATTTTTGCTCATGTGAATGTGAACCGTGATTAAGTAAAAGATGAAGAAATTTCATTGCAACTGTAAGTGATCAAACGGTGATATTTCATTTACTCTTCAAGATGCCTTTTTCTTTTGACAAGCATTATCTTTACTTTTTCTTCTGACCAGCATTACCTTTACTTTTTCTTTTGTTATGGAATCTGTAGTTTTAATGGAGGTCCTCTCTTCCCACTTTCATAGTTCATCGACTGAGTGAGCTAGTAGGGAACACGGTAATGATTTTGTGGGCATTAAAATTCTCTGTGTCAAAAAAAGTAAAGGAACACAGAAGAAAAAAAGGGCATTAAAATCTTGGGAGTTTCACTAAAACACCCAAAATGGAGGCTGAAATTATAAAAAAACCCAACATCCAAAACACTTTATAAACACACCCAAAACCCATCATTACACACACTCAAACTCATTTATAAACACACCCAAAAAATATACAATTGTTGATTTTGGGTGTGTTTCTATGTTTAAATAGTGCTTGAGTTTTTTTATAAATACATGTGTAGGATTGGGTTTATTTATAAATTTGTATTAAATCTTTCACAACTCGTAGTGAAAAGAAAAGAGACAACCACCGTGCCAAAAATAATGTGAAAGGACAGAGGAAATTTCTAATGGAGACTGGATTGCTAGGTTTGCCGTAAACTTGGGGAAAGGACAGAAAGGACTTTCTCATCTCATCATTGATTATTTCGAACACTGATTAATTTCCTTACTTTGTACTCCTCTTCAATATCAATATGCCCCCGCTTTGGGTGATCCGCTGGTTCTGAAGACGAGCAAAGCGATTGCTCTTGAAGATCATGATCATCAACTGCGGTGATATCTGATCCACAAGGCCTCTTTCCGACACAACTCGTTGATTCATTCATCGTTATATCGTCGTCAACAGCTATGGCACTCCCACTAACATCAGCAACCTGGTGGCCTAATAGGTGTACCCCACAGCTTATAACGGGCATCGGTCCTGCGCCTTGCATGTGAAATATAACTTGACACATATTACCCTGCTGCAAATGCGTCGGTTCTTCTCCCACACGTAACTTCTGCCGATCCAATAATGGAACACACTTGAGCCGCACATTAGTATCCTCTATCTCCGTTGCAGACGTATCCCCAATCCATACCTCATTGACGAGTTTTCCATTGATAAGAATCTTGGCATCGTCAAAATAAGGGTAATGATAGCTAACACATAGAACCAATCTTGACGTCTCCCATTCTAAATTTGGAGGAATTTCAAAAGAAAATTCACATCCACCAACGTATTCCTCTTTATCCTCGACATCAGGATATCTACATACTGTTGCATTTTTACAACAGCTGACCCACTTTGGAAATGCATTGCCTCGAAGTATAATTTCGAATACAGCATGCGGTACCTACAATAGAATTGAATTACAACAATCATCATCTTAACGATATAATATAGAGGAAGGGAGAAAGAGAAGAGACAGAAACCTGATTCAGAAGAAAATTTTCAGTGATCTCATAGCCACCTAGTCTATGACAATTGACCAAATCCAGCCACCGAACCCCCTGGGGAAGTTTTGGAAATTTTTCCAATGATGTGCAATTAGGCAGGAGTACCCGATCTACACTTGGTCGAAGCAATTCTGGAATTTCCTGAAGCCCCTTGCAACCATTTAATCTAAGAAACCATAAGTTGGCAAATTTCCTAATGCATCCCGTACCTCTGAAAACATTGTTTCCCGATAGATCAAGAAATGTAAACGTGAACCAGAAGTCGAGAGGCAGGACGAATTTACTTTCTGATAAATTGCATCCTTGGAGATTAAAGAAAACTAGCTTGGGAAGCGCTAATGAGATGTTTGAGTCAGAGTTCACCTTATTGCCAAATGTAGTGAGACGTTGCAATCCATATATACTACGCAATGACGTAAATGTAAGGTTGTCACAATAACAAGCACTCATAAATGTAATCCCAGCAAGATATGCAGTTGATGATGGCAATCCTCTTATGCCACTTTCTCCGATATTCAAAATCAGCAGGGATTCCAACTTGTCCTCTATTTCTGGGAAGCTCTCAAGCCTTCCACAATTACGTAGACAAAGCCTTTCCAGGGATTTCAATCTTAGTGTTGTTGCAAACCTCGTTAGCTTAAAGCATCCATCAAGATTCAATTCAACAAGTTTATCAAGGAGTCCAACAGAATCATCAACCTCAACCAAACTTGTACACTTACTCAGATTCAGCCACTTTATATTTGGGATTCCGAATAAGTCAGGGATTTTTTTTAAGAATTGACAGCCACTCAAATACAAAGATGTCAACTTTGGCATATACTGTGAGACAAAAACATAAATTGGCAAATTATCAAATCCCTTGAAAAAAAAACTTCAAATATATTTTTTTTGTTCCAAAAACAAGAACTCTATTTGAAATAGTAATAAATAAGAATAATTTCAATTGTTACCTTAAATTTTTGCAACTTTCTCATACTACCGCAAGGCATATTGAACACAGCAAGATGCATTGCATAAAACTTGGATGGCAAAGAACGTAACTGGCATTGACCCCAATCAAGGAACCTCAACTCGTTGGGTAGATATTTAATGTGTCCAGATAGAATTGCATTACGATTTATCAAAATTTCAAGATTGTCCATCCCAGAGAAGCTTGTTGCATTCAATGTTATCGCATTTGGCTTGGGAAACTCCATCATGATGCCTTTAATTTTTCCTGTGCCCTAAAATGGAAAATAATTAGTGTTAAGACTTTTCAAACCAAATACAAGTGCATTTTGTAAAGAAATTTTTAGGTTACATAAGGTACTGGTTCTTTTCAAATGGAATATAAGAACGTATATTATACTTACTGTATTTCCTGTTAGAACATGGTAGACGTCCTCATGAAACCATAATCTACTACGCTTGCCAGGCTCAATGGGGCACTCTTCGTGAACTATATCCTTTCCCATTTTTTCTAGCAAGTCATGCATCCAAATCCTATTACATTCAATAGTTATGATTGCCTTCTCAACGAGTACTTCTATACAATCTTGGGAGACCTTCTGCTTACAACTTCTTAGTACTTGTATCACATAGTCCTTATCTTCACCCTTGAAGAAGCATGCAATGTCAAGAAAAACTTGTTGCATTGAATTTTCCAATGCATCATAACTTTTTCGAAGTATTTTCTGAATACCTAAATAAGGTTCTCCTTCGTAACCATCTAATATAGCTTGCCAACGATGTATACCTTTATTACGAAGATGGGAACCTAAAAGTGTTATAGCTAGTGGAAGGCCTTGAGCATAGGCTATTGCTCGTTGTGCTAGTTCCAAATAATCATTTGGAGGTTCTTTTATTCCGAAGGCATTCAAACTGAAAAGTTCAAGAGCTTGGTAGTCAAATAACTTTTGGACCTCGTATATCAACTCAATTCCATGACATTTTAGCAATCCGCTATCTTGTGTAGTTATGATGACTCTGCTACCCTCACCAAACCAACCAACTCCAGCCAAGTTGTCTAATTGCTCCAACTGATTCACATCATCAAGAATTAAGAGAATCTTTTTAAGCCTCAATAGTTTATGTATAATAGAGATACCTTTATCAGTACTGGCAATTTTCAACTTTTTACCACCAAGAATCTCTTGAAGGAGAGTCTCCTGTAGTTGGATTAAGCCTCCATATTGTGGCACTGAATTTTCTCTAACATTTGGCAAGAAACAACTTCCTTCAAATTTATGGGCAATTTCATTCCATATAGCTTTTGCAATTGTTGTCTTGCCTATTCCAGATGCCCCCCATATCCCAACCATGAAACGACCATTCCCACCAACATCCAAAAGCATTTCCACATCTTGTACATGAGACTGAATTCCAACTGGGTACTTGGCCACATTCCAAAATGTGCGGTTCAATACAACGATTAAGATCTCTTCAACGATGTGGTTGATAAATGTAGCTTCAGACCTACCATTTAAAAAAATTTGACACATTTAAGGAATAAAATTTAAACATGCAAGCACATAAAGAACACCATATTTAGGTACATAGTCTATTCAGCTGACTGTCATACTCCCCCGAGTTTGATTGTATAGTTCGCTAAAGTAAGTTTCCATTTGGATGGATCATGGAGGGATTTAAAAGAAGGGATGTGGATTTGAGAATAACTAGATGTAGTGCATTTAATATAGATACTGAATATATTGGAACAACTAGATGTAGTGCGTTTGAAATAGATTTGACGTGACTACATGTAAGGAATCATTTGAAATTCATTTATCTTCTTCATCTCTCTCTTGTCCAAATCTTGACATACATGAATTTCACTAGTCTAAACAAACAAGATTACCTTATTATATAATCTAAATCCATGAATTTGGAATCCTTCCATCCAAATGGAGCCTAAGTTCTTAACCACAAACAATATTGACTCGTTTTATTAAGTATACAATGATATGTATTATTTATACTAGTCCGGCTAATATATGGTTTTTGAATCTTCTCCCTACACTTTTTCAATTTTTCTCAAAACAATACCTTTTTTAATGAGTAACAATTAAATATAACCAAAGGAAAAAGGAGAGAAACCATTAAACTTGAAAAAGATAGAAGACCCTGAAAATAGAATCAAGTCACTAAATTAACCATATATATGTGCACAATAGAGGGTAGAAAGAAATATACTCTCCCGCCTTGCAAGTATATCCTTTCAAACTTGCTGCTTGTCTAAGAGCTCTTCTCCATCTTTGCACCTTCTCCGTACTATCCTTAAATCTGCAGTTAATGTCAGCAAATGCATCACCAAAACTATTTTTTTGGTTTCGTACATGCGACGGATCCACTTTGTAAAAAATGGGCCAAACTATTTGTTTTGTTGATGTTTTGCATCGAAGGATCTCAACGAGTTCGTCCAAGCACCAGCGTGAGGATGCATAGTTTTCAGAGAAGACAATGAGAGAAATCCGTGACTCTTCAATTGCTTTGAGAAGTGATGGTGAGATTTTTTTTCCTCCAATAAGCTCACGATCAATGAAGGTGTAGATCCCCTTATCGGACAAGGCCTTGTACAAATGATCTGTGAAATTGGTGCGTGTGTCCTTACCTCTAAAACTCAAAAACACATCATATGTCCATGGATCATGAGTGAAAAAAGTAGTACTAGTAGAAGAAGAAAAAGAAGGATGCCCTTGTTGGTTGGCCAGAGGAGCCATACTCAGATCAAAGAATAAGTTGTTATAAGAAGGTACCTATTTTCTAATTTGCTGTTGTGAATGTGATTAAGTTTAAGAGTGAGGTTCCAATACTGAATGCAACTTCCGGTCTTCAACTTCCTTTGGTTTCTGACGCGCATACTTCGGACTTCTGCTCACCAGCTCAATAATATTGACTGGTGGTTTGTCTTTTTCAGTGTGTGTAAACTTAATGGGCCTCACCTTTCTTCTACCTGTGCAAGGATGTGGTTCATATTTTTAAAAAAAAAAAAAAAAAAAAAAAAGCACAAATACTATCCAAAGACAACGGAGTTATGTGCAATTATCACTCAAAGAACATATATAGTGTTGCTATTTCCACATTTTGTCCTATTTTTCCACTTCATTTTATCTTCTCACCCACCATGTAAATTTAAAAAAAACACAATCCTATCTTTATACTCACCACTATTCCTAAAAGACTTATTTACACCAATGCCCCCTTGAACTACAATCAAATCTCATTTTGCCCCCCAAATTTAAAGTGGCCCACTTACTCCGCTTGACCATGGTTTGGTGATCCACTTTGCCCCCTTCCGTCAACTCCATTCAAAACTCTAAAACTGATGATGTGATAAGAGTGTTTATGTAATTTTGTACCCATGGGGGTCGTTTGGCAAGGCGGACTGTTATGGACTGGACTAAATCCTCGGACTGTCTCGAATTAGCTCAGATTGGTCTAAGCTGGATTAAGTACTGACCTACGTTTGGTGCTACGTAAGACTAAGAAGCTGGATTGTAAAAATAGTGAAGACTTATATTTGGTGCTGTGTTGGACTAAAAAATAATTTTATAATATTTAAATTTAATTGGGGTTTTGACCTAAAAGATAAATAAATGCTACAAAAAAACCCAATTCAAAGATTTATAGCAATATCTGGCACAAATTTTTTATTATTTAAAAACAGTAATAAAAATAAATTTCTGTTTTTTTTTAGGAAAAATAAAATTATGATATTTGTTTTTTGACTTCTCAAGATTAATCTTAGTTGGTCGAAACATTGTTAAAAGAGCTAAGCTCACTCTATATAATTCTAGATCTTTTAGGGACCAAGTAAAACAATAATTAAAAAAATTATATATATAATTTTTGTATATTTGACTTTTGACTTCAAACTGAAAAATATAATTTGACAAGGTAAAAATTGCTTGCGATAAAGAAAGCATCACATCATGAATTATTAAACTTGTTCCAATATCACAAAAATATCAAACATTTGTACATTAGTATAGTTTGATTTTCCAAATGCAATATCAAAATAATTATTGTAATATTTTAAGGATTTTTATCTAAAATAAATAAATGCTGCAAAAAAAAAAAGTCATTCAATTGATCTAAAACAATAATTAAAAGAAGACAAATAAAATTATGATATTTCTTAAAGTGAGGTGTCAGACTCACGTGTTCTATTTAGCAAGCGTGCTATTTAGCGAACCACTTTTCAGGCTCACTGTATTAAACGAGCAAGTGATGCATTTTTTTCACTATTACTATACAATCTCATTTAAGTTAGTTCCCGTCTCTTACCAGACAAGGGTTTCGAGTGCTATTTAACCCAGTCCAGTCCAGTGAGGCGTACCAAACATGACCATGGTTCATTATTCACCAATTGAGGGGTGACGTGTCAAGTGAAGCCCACCTCCACATAGATAAAATATAATTAAATATTATAATGATTAAATCTAATTTAAAAATTAAAATAAAACATTAAAAAATTTAGAACTAAAAAAATATTTCTCCCTGCCTCTTTCTCTCTCTTTACTTGACCCTCTCGCCCAGATCCCACCCACACCCATCCCCCTTCCTAGCCGCACCAACCATTGCCCCTTCTCTCTCTCTCTCTCTCTTCCAAATCGCTCCCACTCCTCCTCCTTTCTTCAACAACCATGAAAAATAATTAAAAGAAAAAAAACATGCAAGTCATCATTTCCCCTTCGTATCTCCCTCCTTCTCCTTCCCCTCCGCCTTCCACTCCCACTCCCCCTATGATCTCTCTCTCTACCCAGCTCTCTCTCTCTCTCTCTCTCTCTCTCTCTCTCTCTCTCTCTCTCTCTCTCTCTCTCTCCCCAACTCTCTCCCATCTCCATCTTTCTCTCTTTTTGCACTCTTTCTCTCTCTTTCTTAGATAATCAACAATTTTGTTGAAGAACACAAACACCATAGCAGAATGAAAGGAAAAAAAAAAAGGACGCAAACGAGATGACCGGGATGATTGTTGAAATATTGGATCAACAAAGGAGAAGGATAAAATTATCAAGGCCACAAAATCTTGACCCTAAAAGGAAAGGAGCAAAAATTTCCAACAACCACTTCCCCCTCATCAACTCTAGAAATTTCCTAGCATCAAAACGTGGCAAGTCACACTGAAGGGGCTTCCATCGGCAATTCTGATACTCCTTGTGTGGTCTACCATTTTCCTGGCAATTTTGCATCTGTGTCAGGACTCCCATTTTAAGCTATCTCTTTCTCCCCCTATTTGGTCTCTTGCTCTTTGTTTGTAATCGTGAACCCCTCCCTTTAGGTATGTCTTCTGAATAGCTACTTGTAACCTTGAAGCTCTAGTGGATTGCCGATCTCAAAAAGGTAGTGTTGATGGTTATTTTCTTAATATCAGTGGGATTATGTGAAATGGGTTATATTTTGATTGTTTGGGTTTGTGTTAAATTTGTTTTGGCTTTAATTGATTTGGGTTAGGTTTTGTTGAATATTCATGCTCATTCATCTGGGTTTGTACCAATTGCATTTAGATTGGTCTGGATATGTGAATCTTGAAACTTGGGATTTTCCATTTGATGTAGTAGATCTGTATAGTGTGATTCTGATGTGTTACTGGTGTATTGCTGTTGTGTTCCTGTTATTTTACTGTCATATTGCTGTTATGTTGCTGTTATATTGCTATTATATTGCTGTGATATTGTCATTGTATTGTCTTGTTATTGTGGTTATATTGTGTTAATGAAATGTTGTTTTGTCATGGTCAGAAATGGAGACAATTGTTATTCTCGTGTGCTACAATGGAAAATCGGTCACCTCGAAGAAGATGTGCAAATACGAAGGGGGTGACTCAAAAGGCTTAATAGTTCCACGGACCATCAAATTTGCTGAACTGTTGGACCGTGTGCATCAGATTGGTAATACAAACAGCAGGGAAGACAAGGTTTGCTTAAAATTCTCAGTTTTCGTGGCCTCGAATGAGTGGAAGCACATAAAGATTGAGGACGATGATGACGTCAATTTTTTTATGAAGTACAATTATGAGGCAACACCTTCAAAACTAGCTCCCTTACTCATGAATATAGAAGATAAAGGACTGACAAATGATGTAGTTGATAGTATGCATATCACGACAAATAGTAGTCGGATGGGTCGTTCTTCAGTTACCATTGTTGAAAACAATGAAGTAACTTGGAATAATACAAATGGCACTGCTGTGGGAGGTGAAGTAGGGACATATTTTATGGATATGATTGATTTTAGCAAGGTGGAGGAAATGCGTGGTGGTGATAATGGTACTGAAAGAAATGAAGTGTCGGTGTACTCTACCCTTCCTATTTTGGGCTGCTTGAACACATCTGCCCAACTGCCAATAATGCGTTTAGGAGGAGAATCTGAACCCATTCGTGAACATTATTGGAGTCAAATAGGTGAACAGAACCGGTACAATGAAGCCGGTGTAAATGATGGAGAAGCATATTTGGACAGCGGGTTTTCGCGAAGTGATTGGAATCCGAAAATTACAGTTGGGCAAATTTTCTCTAGTAAGAAAGCATTGTTGATGGAGTTACGGTTGACGGCATTAAGAGGCCACTTTGAATTGAAGGTGCAATTCTCTTGCACTAAGAGGTTGCTTGTGGTTTGTTGTCAACGTCCATGCACATGGCGGGTCCGAGTATCGAGATTTGGAGAATACAACTTCATGATTGTGAGGTGTACAACTGTCCATGAATGTGATTTGAGGTTCGTAAGTGACAACCATCGTCAAGCAACCGCAGCACTTGTAGCCACTTCATTTAAAAGTTTAAGGATTCTCAGACAATATACACACCAAGTGACATTATGAGATATGTGAAACACAACTTTGGTTTCGCCATCCATTATTCGAAAGCTTGGAAAGCAAGGGAGTTAGCTCTATTGTCCATTAGAGGATCAGCGGAGGAGGCATATTATATCCTTCCAGCTTATTGCTATGAATTGGAGCATATGAATCTCGGCACAAAAACACACATCCAAATTGATGAGAACAATCACTTTGTGTATTTATTTATAAAGGTTGGCGCATGTATTAGAGGGTTTCGTTCTTCCATGCGCCTAGTGATAGCCGTGGATGCCACTCATTTAAAATCCAAGTACAAGGGTGTTATGTTTGTAGCAAATGCATTCGATGGTAATCGAAATATATATCCTCTTGCTTTTGGGATTGGGGATTTGGAGACGAATGCATCATGGCATTGGTTTTTCACTAAACTTCATGAAGCCATTGGTGAGTGTCCCAATCTTGTTTTATTTCTGTTTTATGTTATCGCATAGAGAATGTGTGGAACAAAGTTTTTCCAACTGCGCAACATGGCATATGCTTTTATCATATGAAGGGGAACATGAAACGCACTTGCACGTTGAAAAAGCGTGATCAAATACTTATGCACTTTGAGCAGGCTGTGAAATCTTATTCCATTCCTGAATTTGATTGTCATTTTCGCAAGATCAAGTGAAAGGAACATGTTGCTCAATATCTTGAAGAGGCAGGTAAACACAAGTGGTCTAAAGCTTACATGGATGGACGTCGCTATAATGTAATGACAACAAATATTGCGGAGTCAATCAACTCAGTCCTTAGGTTCGCAAGGATGCTGCCAGTAGTTCATTTGATAGGGAAAATTATTAATCTCCTTGTGAAATGGTTCACTGAACGTCGTGAGTTGGATTTGAATTGCACCACAACATTGTGCCCCAATTTTGGAGAGAAGAAGTTGAGGAATAGGTTGGAGGATGCTACAAGGATGGATGTGGTTAAAGTAAATAATGCATAGTTTAATGTTATGGACGGCCTCGTAGATTTGACGAACAACAATTGTAGTTGTAGAAAGTTTCAGCTTGAGCAGCTACCTTGCAAGCATGTAGTTGCAATTTGTCGCTTCTTGAAAGTAAATGTATACTCAAAGGCTTCTCGGTATTACACTCGGAAAACCTGGATGGATGCTTATTCGGATAGCATCTACCTGGTACAGCCTCACGGAAAGTGGGATATTCCTGAAGATGTTCGAAGTCGATTTGTGCTGCCTCCCATGGCAAGGGTCATGCCAGGCAAACGAAAGAAGATAAGAATTCCCTCGCACGGAGAGGGCACCATTAGAAGAAAGTGCTCAAGGTGCAGTTCCGCAGGCCACAATAAAAGCACCTGTAAAAACAATATTACATTGCACAATGTATCCTAGACAATATGATTTGTGTTGCTTTAGCAGGTCATGTAAACTCTACTTTTATTTGTGGTGGGTTTCATGTTGTGTTGAATGGGAATTCTTTTAAGTTTGCATAATTTGGGATGCATTGCTATAGCATGTTGTATTGCTTCCAAATTGCTATTATATTGTACTGGTATTGCTTCCAGATTGCTATTATAATTTGAATGCGAAATTAAAGGGCATGTAATTTAATTCCAAATGGATCCAAAACATTAAAGTTCTTAGAATTCTTTATTACACAGTTACCCTGATACTCCTACTATACCTTCTTTTCTGATTACATATTCGGCCGATGCATAGGCCAAATGTGAGGCAAATATAAGGTGAAATGTCCTATGTGTTTGACTACATATAGTTGTTGAAGGAGCATTACAAATGTTAACCCCAATAGATTGCTCATGTCTTGCCAAGAACACTCTTGAATTTATGCAATTTGCCCAAGCCAGTCCCAAAGCTGGACTCACCCTCTACTTGATGTGTCCAGGGACTCCAAGTTTCCCACCCTCACCCCATGCACTCCATCATGTGGCCCAATAAAATCCACCACTTGGTTGGTGACAACCACCGCCAACCCAAACTTATTTGCTAAACCCTTCAATGTCCCAGATATGTTGAAGAACATTTCATATCACTGTTTCAAATCTGCTGGTGTTGTCTGATACTGTGATCGAAAAAATGCAGCAATGGAATCAATGACAATGAGTTTCACAGGTAGGCGGGTGTGATCAATGGCAATAAATGCTTGTATGTCTCCAAGGACATGGATGAGTTGTTGAGCATCATCAACACCATGAACATATATGTCTTCCAATGGCTCCAACCTTATTAAGTTAGGGTATGATGCATGATAAAGGTTCCCTAGTTGTTGCAATCAACGAAATGGGAAGCTGAATTCTGTGAATATGTAGACGGAGGAGCCCCCTAGTCCGCCATGTGAGGGTGGGAGCTGAGCTCGTACCGTCAGTTGGAGACAAAGCTGCGTCTTCCAGGAACCACTCTCCCTTACCAATTCTGTTATGGAGTTGCAGGGTATCCCACCCCCCAAGCAGTCATCTAGTATTGGGCATCCGATTGATAATTTAGGGGTTGAAAGAGGAAGGAGTATGAGGTTTTGGGGTGTCATGTTTCTGGGGGGGATGTGATGGTGCTACAAGGCATGCATTATATATATAGATTCATTTTGAAGGTCTGTAATGTAGGCCATATGTCTTTTAAGGGTTGTATAATTCATCCTTTTTCCAAGTTGTAATTACTTTTTTGTTTATTTATTTGTTTTTTTTTGGACCAAATAATTTAAAAAACATTCTGATGCAGTACGTACTGTAATAGGATCATATTGTTACATAATACAAAAAGAGGCCACCTCATAGTTCCATTTCCCTGCTGTTGACAAATTCGAAGTTTCATACTCTTCAAGTGCGGCCACAGTGAAATTCATGACCCCGGCCACAGTGATGTTGGCCCAGTTTCCTGCCGAATCCACTATTTTTGTAAACTTACGAAATCGTTCGAATCCTCTTTCCACTTCTTGTTGCTTCAATTTGGCCATTTCTTATGATTCCTTGAATACCATAATTGCAATGACAGGGGCAATTTCAATTTTTGCTTTCATTGCCTTTATATGTAGGAGATGCATGCGAGCATGATAACGAGAGCGAATTGTGCGATTTTTTATGACACCCCATCTAGCTTGGCCCTCCACAATTTTTGAAACTGTCTGCATGGAGATTTTTCCAAAACATGGTATTGCCTCGACATTGCTGCATGCCATGGACCAAGTTTGCATTGAGTGAATTGGGTGACTTGGCTTGTGTTTCAGTCTCCCCTCCTTCAGTAATTGAAAGCGTTGGGTTTGGTGTGAGGTTATGGTCCATGGTCTTCGATATTTATTGTAGGCTGGTCTACGACTTAATTGGAAAAAAAGGGGACTAAATGCGATGTGAGTGAAATCAGTGGGGAAGGGAATGGCTGCAAGCAGGATTTGATGTGATGGAAGTTTTCATTTCAAACAACTGGGTTGATTAATATAGGCAGGTTTTAATGACCTGGTGTAATTGAGAGAGTTATTGGCAGGGGGGATTAGGGGGAGGGATTGGCGGGAGGGATTGGCGGGAGTCTTAGGCGGGAGTTATTACCCAGTTGATTGTATGCCTTTTTGTAATATATTTCTATTTTGGATGTTCCGAATTTGGTAATTTTCCCATTATGTAATTCAAATAAGGGCTTTGCCTATTTGCCTAATTGACCAACTCATTCAAATTGACCAATATGGTTATTGTCTTATTTCTCATTTCAGAAATCTCAATTCGTTTCCATTTTTCCATTATTCATATTTTCCTATTTTCCTATTTTCCATCTGTCATCCAATTATCCAATTATCCAAATTTTCAAATTTTCATTATTTTTGCCTATTTTTTCTTATTTCCTATTTTCCTATTTTGCAATTTCCCAAGTTCCCTTTTGTGCTATTTCCAGTTTTCCAATTTTTCAATGTTCCTATTTTCCCATATTATGTAATTGAAAAAAGTTGCCTACTTTGCCTAATTGAGAAAGTAATTAAAATTTTCCAATATGGTAATTGTCTTATTTCCCATTTCCACAATTTCAATTCGTTTCCAATTTTCCAATTTTCCATGTGTCCCTGTTTCCTAATTGCATTTATCCAATTTTCAGTTTTTTTTTCCAATTATCCAATTTTTTTTCTATTATTTTTTTTTTTTTTTTTTTTTTTTTTTTTTTTTGTCTATGTTCTAAGTTTCTTCTTATTTCCTATTTTTCAATTATCTAGTTATCCAATAGTCCAATTTTCCAATTATCCAATTTTCAATTTTCCAATTTGCGAATTTGCCTATTTTCCAAGTGTCCTTTTTTCCTATTTCCTATTTCGAATTTTCTAATTTTCCTTTTTTCCAATTTTCATGTTTTCAGAGTTTCCTTTTGTTCAATTTCCAATTTTCCAATTTTCCAAGTTGCTTTATTTTCCGATTACCCAATTTTCCAATTTTCCTATTTTCCAGGTGTCCTTTTTTCCTTTTTCCAATTTTCTAATTTTCCTATTTTCCAAGTGTCCTTTTATCCTATTTCCTAGTTTCCTCTTTCCAAATTTCCTTTTTACCTAATTCCAATTTTCCAAATTTCCAAGTTTCCATTTTTTCGTATTTCCGATTTTCCAATTTTCCTTTTGTTCTATTTCCAATTTTCCAATTTTCCAAGTTTCCATATTTCCCATTTTCCAAGTTTACACTTTTGCTATTTTCCTATTTTCCTATATTCCTATTTGCCTATTTTCCAATTTCGCTATTTTCCAATTTTCTTTTCTGAAATTCGCAATAAATGCTTAGTTACATAGTCCTTTTTTGGGTTGAAATCCACAATTTCCAATTTCCCATTAAGGTTTGCTTTTTTTGGTTTGTAAGCCAATTTTATTGTTGTTAATGTAATGCTCTACTGCTGTAAATTACAACCAAGGAGTTAATGATGTAGTTTGGAATCCCATCAATTGAATGCACCGACTAAATACTCATTATACTTCATATAAGTTCCTACATATAACTGAACCTTCCTATATATAACTGCAGCATAGGCACCCTCTTAACGGGAAAGGTAATTAGTCTTACTCAAAGGCAGACATTCTCCACTAAAGCTAACCATATTTTTGTTTACAACTGGAGACTGAATGTGCCTTTATTTGTTTTGTTGCAGTCCACAGTTGTGAATTATCCCCAACAATACTTAAAGATGTTGGATGTACGCCCTCCAAACGAGCATGTCAGTTCCCCGGGGGACCAGCCGTGGCATGTGCCATTCCCATCTCCACCTCTGACTCCCAATCATGATCCCACTTCATCTGGAAGTGAGGCTGAGAGCAATGATCCGCTTGACAAAATTTCTGCCGTCAAGTACGACCTCCAATATTTTTCTAAGGCAATAGATTGGGGGGAGAGTAAATGTGATATTCATGGCCAAGTTATGAGAAACTTGGCCAACAAGTTGAACAAAGCATACGCTGGAGAAGTGAAGCAAACTCTAAAAGCAAAAAGTTAGAGTCCTTGAAGTTGAAATTGGAAGAGACAAAGAAATATGCCGTCGAAAAATTCACAAAATCTGAAGAATATAATCATGAAATGGTTGAATGTTTCAACAACGACTTCGAAATGTTCCGAGATTATGCCTCAGTCATCTCACCAGACTACAATTGGAGTGAAATTGATGTAGCTGGTGTCTGGGAGGTGCTGAATATGGGTGCAGAGGGAATGGCTCATCATAGCCTCGTGCATGCAGCGAGGAGGAAGGACAAAGACATGGATCTTTTGATGGACCTGTAGTAAGAGTGAGTGCTGCTTCAGTTCATCTCACTCGAGTACATGGATCTTTTGTTGCCTTTGTTTTCCCTTCGCGGGATAGTATTGTTACGGTTCGGTGGCGATTTATTTTGCATGCGTAAAATGTAGTCTGTAATGGATGTGTGTGTATTGTTACGGTTCGCGGGATAGTATTGTTACGGTTCTATTGTATGATATTGCCTTAATATTGCCTTTGTATTGTATACATAGTGTATCCATATTGTCACCCTATTGGATGTATATTGTAATACTATTGCTATCGTATTGTCATTATATTGCTCTAATATTGCCTCTGTAGTGTACGTATATTGGCCTAATATTGCTATTATATCGTATGTCAATGGCCATTTGGTCTAATAACAGTCTCCACTTCGTTGAAAGTAATCCTAAGTTCAAATATCATGGACATGACAATTGTTAGTTGTCCCTTTTTTTTTCTTTTTTTTTAAGCTCTTAGCTTTTAAAAATTGCACCTCCACTGAAAAATTCATGGATCTGCCGCTGACCACAAGCTAAAGAAAAACCGAACACTAGCAAATCAAACAAAGGGCCAAACAGTAAAGTACATAATAGACAAAGTGAAGGCCCAAAAACAAAAGCCCAAACTGAAAAAACTGAAAACCCTAGATATGAGCATAAACCACAGCAGCGCCACCCAAAGACCACCTGCTGCAACACCATTGAAATATGCAATCATTGAGAATGAGTAACTAGTAACAACACATACCAAAGGTCCAGGTGGAAGATGGGGGGGAACTAGCCACCCGCACAAAACATGCTCCCATAATCCAAGGGACAAGAGTTTTAATGATAGGACCCGACCCGAATTCCCCTTGGAATCTATATCAAATCCTGCTTTCCTTCCAACACCTAAGAGCACTTCCACCAGTTAGCCCCTTACCATGGCAAGGGGAGCCCTAGGGCGGGTACTATTTACGTGAATAGTGGCTGCCCTAGCACAAAAAAAAATTGTGTTTCCAGCAATGCAAGGCTTGCCATGGCAAATACTATTCATTTTTTTGTTTTTTTCACAACTTTGTTTACTTAAACAATTAATTTGGATAATATTTTCGGATAAGATTTTTGGGTTCCTATGTGTCAATATTATTCATATCGGATCAGATTTTCGGTTCCAAATTTCAGATAAATTTTAGATAAATTTCAAATTTCAGATACATTTCAAAATTCAAATTCCAGATAAATTTCAAATTTCAAATTTCATGTGAATTTCAAATTTCAGATAAGATTTTCACCCTCTAAAATTGCGCCACGTGTCATCTCTATCTGCATAAATTTTTCTATAAATGCAGAGGCTCAGCTCATACCTCCCACATCATATCTTCTCTACATCTTCATTTCTCATATTTTAGATTTCATTCTCTATTCTCAATGTCAGACGACATGGAAGAGGTTTTGGAGAGGCAAGAGCGAGAAAGGCGAGCAAGAATGCGTAGAAGAGCTGCAAGCAAAAGGGCGCAGAGAGAACTAGATGAGCAACTTGGTGTGGCCGTTGCTTTGCTGGAGGAAGAAAACCAGAGCCGCCGTGGTTCACGAGAAGGCCGGGCACAGAATGTGGACAGACATAGACATTCTCGGGGTAAGAATCTTATGGAAGATTATTTTATCCCACAATCTCTGTACTCTGATGTTCATTTTCGAGCAAGATATAGAATGCAACCTCATTTGTTCAATAAAGTCATGCATGATATTTGCAATTATGATGACTACTTTGTTCAAAAGAAAAATTGTGCTGGAGATTTGGGGCTGCTTCCCGAGCAAAAGTTCACAGCTGTGATACGAATGTTGGCGTATGGGTCATCTGCTGATCAAGTGGATGAGATTGCCCGGATGGGGAAGTCCACTATTTTGGAGAGCTTGGTGCGATTTTGTGATGCTGTGGAAAATCTGTACACCAGGGACTACCTGCGCAGACCTACGCCCAGGGACCTGCAACGGCTTCTACAAAAAGCTGAGTCTCGTGGATTTCTTGGAATGATTGGTAGCATTGACTGCATGCACTGGCAATGGAAAAATTGTCCATCTGCTTGGCAAGGGGATTATGGGAATCGGAAAGGGCAGAAAAGCATCATCCTCGAAGCAGTTGCTGGTTTTGATACATGGGTTTGGCACGCCTTCTTTGGAGTTGCCGGCTCTCAAAATGATTTGAACGTCCTGGGTCAATCCCCGGTGTTCAATGATGTTCTGAGAGGTGAAGGCCCAACTATCACATATCAAATTAATAATACCGTCTACCAGAACGGGTATTATTTAGTTGATGGTATCTACCCGAGGTGGACAACATTTGTGAAATCAATTCCACATCCCCGATCCCACAAGGAAAATTTTTTTGCTGCCTATCAAGAGGGGTACAGAAAAGATGTGGAGAGGTGCTTTGGTATCCTTCAAGCCCGGTGGGCAATTATCAGGGGAGCGGCACGTCTATTTGATGAGGAGGTGCTTAGGAGTATAATGATGACTTGTATCATCCTCCACAATATGATTGTGGAAGATGAGTATGATTACGATGCTGCTGAAGATGAGTATGAACCAGATCCAATGAACACCGCCTTAACACGAATTTATGAAAAACCTATGGGGCCAAATGGAGAACCAGTGCAGCATGATCCGTTAGTTAGAGACGATAGTTTCATGCATCGGATGATTGAGCGCTACACGGAGATGCAATCGTCATATATTCATGAACATTGTCAAATGGACTTGATGGAGCATTTGTGGGCGGTGAAAGGCAATGAAGGACAATAAAGTAAAGTGAAGATGTGTTTTTAATGTATTATGTTTATGTTGTATTTTTAGTTATGCTTTGTTGTTTTTTTATGCTTTAGTTGTGGTTTGTTTATTTTTTATGCTTTGGTTGTGGTTTGTTTATTTTTTATGCTTTGATTGTGGTTTGTTTATTTTTTATGCTTTGGTTGTGGTTTGTTTATTTTTTATGCTTTGGTTGTGGGTTGCTTTTTATGTTTGAATAAAAAGGAATGTTGTTGAATATTTTCTTCATTCACTAAAAGAAAATGAATACAACTCATAAAATAAAATACATGAATTACAACTACTTTTTTAAACAAAACAAAAATACAATGAAATGAAAGGCAAGCAAACTAACTTAATGGTACAATGAAATGAAAGGCAAGCAAACTAACTTAATGGTTTTGATCATTTAACCAATCCGTGTTGCTAGGTCCATCGTCACGAAAAAGTCTTCGTCTCATAACATCCCTTCGTTCTAACTTCCAAAATTGTTTTGTTTCGGGGGACATATGGGTTGTATCCATAGCCATGGTTTCCTGATCATTTTTTTCAATCTTTCCTTGGCGTACATACTCCCTTTCTTTTGCATATTCTACTTCCATTGCCCTATCGTGCTCTTGTTGTTTCATATCCATTTCAATTCTCATGGCTTGCATCTTTGAAACACTACTACAAAAAGTGAAAAAGACGACCAGAAAAACACGACGGTCTAAGTGAAAACCGTCGTTGTTTTTTAAAAGACGACGGTTTTATAAAACCGCCGTGTAATAACACATTAGACAACAAAAAAATGGAGTTTCAAATGGCTGTTCCTAAAACACGACGTACTTAATTAAAAAACCGACGTCTTATTGAAATAGGATTTTCAAGTGGTAAAATCATAGCCAACAAATAACGGCGGAAGTTATGAACCGACGGACGTAGAAAGTAAAGACGACGATTTCAAAAAAAGCCGTCGTTTTTACCCAGAAATTAACACAACCAAATTTTCGTATAAGGCGCCGTATAATTACAAATAAATCCACGGCGGTAAAATACAAAATACCGCCGTATTAAATTAATGTACAACTACGGCAAACGTAAATATAACGACGTCTTTCTCGTATTTCTACGAAGATATCTTTAAATCTTACCAAGTTGGGGTTTTCATTTAACGACGTATTATACAATTTAACGTCGTATTTGTCCACTTTATACGTCATACATTATATTTAAACCGTCGTCTGAATAAGAATTTTTTTTAACAATTTATTTCTTGGATTTTGTTATCCTACGTCGGTAGATCTACTTAATGACAACAATTGAAATAACCACGACGGTTTATATAGAAAACCGCAGACATAATCAAATTATTCTGAGATCACAAGGGTTAGGAAATCTTACAAGATGGAACTCTGTTGCTCATCATAATCTTACCAGAAAGACAATATTTTAGAGGTTAATGATGTATGTGTATTTGTGTCTTTGAGATACACAAACGCACATACACATTAACATCCAAAAATTGCTTCTGAAATTTGACGACGGCAGCCTCAGATTTGCAATCAGAGAGACAATTTTTTGGAAGTGAATGATGTATGTGCATTTGTGTATCTACACAAACGCACACACACATTCACATCCAAACAATTGCCTCCTAAAACTTCACGACGGCAGCCACAGATTTGCAATCAGAGAGACAATTTATTGAAAATTGGTGATTTGCAATCATATTTGCAATCAGCCACAGATAACCAACATTCAAACAATTGCCTCCCAAGAGATGAGGTGAGACAGAGAAAGGGGCAAGAAGAAGTTGAAACCCTAATCGAATACTAAAACTGAAAGAACCCGTGAAAAAAAAACCCTATTTATAATTAAAAAACCAAATCCACGTCGGTTATATTACACATAACGACGTTTAACAAAAATAATCCTCGTCGGTAACAAATACATTACGTCGTTTTATTCTTACTTAAGACGACAAGAAAAGACGACGGTATAACAAAAACAGTTGTTGTTTTATATTTTTATTTGATTTAAATCAGTCACCCAGAAAAGAAACTTTACAAATTCTAGAACATTAATTTCCTCGGGAAAAAAAACTATATTTATAAGGAACTGTTTTTGAAAAATAAACTGAAAGAAAAAGGGGAAAAAAAATTATATTTATAATAAAAAAATAAAATCCACGTCGGTTATATTACACATAACGACGTTTAAAAACGAATCCACGTCGCGAAAAAAAAATACGTCGTTTTAGTTTAGTGTTATCCACGTCGGTATATTACAATAAAACGACGTATATTATAAAAATAAACGTCGTAAATTTAAAAAAACCGTCGTGTTAAATATTTCTACCATGACGCGAGATATTGAGTTATCGACTTTTATTTAGGAGTTTACTACGGCGGTACCTACAACACTACTGTCGTATTTATGTACCACGTCATAAGTTCAAATTATCGTCGTAGTTTGTCTATTAATACGTCGTCGTTCTATGTAAACCGCCGTCTTATTACTATGAAACGGTTGTATACATATACAACTTTTCGTCTACCTGACTTACACATGCACTGTTTCCAAACCCGAGAAAAATTTCAATCTCCCAAGAAAACTTTTCGTCTTTTTTCCTTGTCAGAGCACTGTCAGAGTATCTCATCGTCTTCCTCTCGTCTTCGTCGTCGCCTCTGAACTTAAACACCAAAATCCGAGAGAAAGCTTTCATTGCACGCAAAAGGTAAGCTTTCATTTCTCACTATTTTTGTTGCTATTTTGCATGCTCATACGGTTTTTGTTTTGAAAATCTTTTTACCTTTTTTCTGGCGAAAATCATTTTTATTCTTTCCAAGTTTGATAAAATACACAACAGAGAGGGAAAGTTTCCAACTTTGAACACAACTAATTCAACTAAATAAGACGACGGTAGCTTCTTATTTACGTGGTTAAATATGTAGACCACGACGGTTCGTCAGTCGTCCTAGCGTCGTCTTAAAATTGATCTAAGTTGTTTTTAAAATGACGTTCAATTTTTTATTTGCTTGTTTAGTTGCAGGTTTGATTTCTCTGAACCATGGTTTTCGTTTTTCCTAATTTGATAAAATACAAAGACAAAGAAAGTAGGGTTTGGTATCTTATATAGACGACGGTATCTTATTATTGACGCCGTGTGAATGTTCATACCACGACGTTATACTAAGATACCGTCGTCTATAAAAAGATGCCAAAGCTTTTTTTCTTTGTATTTTATCAAATTAGGAAAAACAAAAACCATGTTTCAGAGAAATTAAACCTGCAATCAAACATTCACAGAGAAAGAAAAATGTTTTTGGTTTCTTATAAATACGACGGTAGCTTATTATTCACGTCGTGTGAATATCCATAACACGACGTTATATTAATATTTACGTCGTGTTAATATGAATATCACGACGTCGTGTAAATATCGCCGTAATAAGTTCTTATTACGTCTTATTTAATATTGTTTCGTCGTTGTTTAAACATTTATATTGTTTCTTCTTTAAACATTTATTACGTCTGATGTTATGTTATTACGTCGTGTAAAATCTTATCATACGTCGTAGTTTATAAATAACCGTCGTTTGTGTTCTAATTTTTTTCCCGAAATATTTTCACTTGCAGGTTTGTTTATTCTGTAACCATGGTTTCTCAAGACCAAAGTAAGGACTCTGGCTCCAAAAAAATGGAGGTAAGGAGCTTGGAATGGTAACTCCTCAAGACAAGCCCTTGAAGAAGATGAAGTTTGTTTCATCTGCTGAGACAGAACCAACCAGCACGACAACAATTTCTGAGGATTCAAAGTCAGGTCGAGGTATGAGCACAATGCCTCGTGTTGTGAAGAGAAAATTGCAGAAAATCAAGCCAGTTGTTGAGTACAATAAAAGGGGGAAAGGATGTGGCCCTGCACATACTGAGATGCAGTCCTACATTGGTGTGTTGGCACGCTCCAGAGTCCCACTTGTGGACAAGAAATGGGCTGAAATCCCCAAGGATATAAAGGAGCAGATTTGGGAAGCCGTTGACATGGCTTTTGTGGTAGGTCAAGGGGGCAAGACCTCGGTGTTATCTTCTGCTGCCAAGAAATGGAAGGATTTCAAGTCTACACTGACGAGGCATTATATCCTTCCATACATCAAGGAGAGGGAGAAATTAAGCCAACCCCCTGAAGTATATAAATTCATAGAGAAAGCAGAATGGGATGCCTTTGTAGCTTCAAGGTTATCCAAAGAATTTGAGTCTGTGCATTCTCAACATTCACAGATTAGGGAGAAACTTGAGTACAATCATCGATTGTCTCGAAAAGGATATGCTGGTTTGGAGGATCAATTGGAGGAAACCATGCCTGGGGTAGAAATTGATCGATCTACCTTATGGAAGAAAGCTAGACAGGACAAACATGGTAACATCCCGGATCCAAAGGTGGCAGAGAAAGCAAAATTAATTGTAAGCCTACACACTCTGTTTTAAATTTTTATTAAACTGTGTATAATTCTTATTACGTCTTATGTTATATTTTTCCGTCGTGTGAATGATTTTACTACGTCGAAATATTTTAAAAAACGTCGTGAAAGATCTAAATCTGGAATCACAACTCTGTTTTCTGTAATTATAGCATAAGACGTCGGTGGTTAATTTTTTCGTCGTGTTAATGTTATTACTACGTCGAAATGTTTTCAAAAACGTCGTGAAAGATCTAAATCTGGAATCACAACTCTGTTTTCTGTAATTACAGCATAAGACGTCGGTGGTTTATTTATTGCGTCGTTTTAAACAACTAACCACGTCGTTTTTAATTAACGTCGTTATAAATATATTATAACGTCGATTTCTATATTGGTGCGTCGTGTGAAATTATATAATGCGTCGTTTGTTTATAAATAACCGTCGTGTGTTTTCTTGTGCTGACTTTTTTGTATGTCTTTGTTTTAGGATGAATTGCAAAAACAAGTGGCTGAAGGCAGTCTGAGTTTAACTGGCAGTAATGATGTGTTGACCTT